AGTCATGGCTGGTTGAAAAAAAAAAGTTTCGACACTCAATTGAGAATCGTACAAAGTAATTTGGTATTAGTAAAATATTTTTTACTAATGTGACTCCTTTCTCCTTCTAATTTGGTATTTGACAACTAGTCATAAGAGAATTTCTTAGCTTACTAATAAATTTCTCTCCTATCCTTAAAAAAAAAATAGAGGGCATCATCTTCTCTTGGGTCCAAGGAAGTTAAATCGCAATAATGAGCATATTTCTTGTCAAAACATTGCAAATGATGGGTGAATCAGATGGTTACAATCATTCAAGTAGACGCATCTCTCTCCACTTGATAACCTATGTGTTACCTGACCAAGTTGGTAGGTCACCTCTCTCGCTTTCTCCACGTAAAAATAGGTGCACAGGAACTGTAGGCCAATCCCTTTGCAATAGGGCAACCTCATGGGGCAATCACATGCCCCCACTTTGACTCGGTGTGCTCATGAAATTACATGAAATCATGCTCTCCAAGTCTCTACAATGATCATTGGATGATTAAAATAGCTTTTGCTGGGGATGATTGAGAAGGAATGGACGATATGACTGAAGATGGAATTGGACCAGCAAGTTGATGTGGAAATAGAGGAGTGGGTCTCGAGTGGATCGGAAGTAGTACCATAATGGTCTAAGCAAAAGCTGCCAATCGAGAAACACTGTATTCCCAAATCATTGATTTCGTTTGGGTTGGTGAAGGCTTTGTTATAAGGCCCATCAAACCATATTCACAGTGTCATGCTACTTCATAAATGCTATCGGGTATCTCTATTTCACGATGAGGACCGGACCCTTTTCACTGTTTTGGGACAGTTCAATGGAGAAGAGGCAGGGAGATGGTTGAAATAGCTTTGTCCCCAAGAGAATTGGGGAAGGAACACGGATGGATCAGGTGTACAAAGCAAAAGTTCGACTTCTCCCGTCACTTGGGTACAATCATTCTCATGTTTAGATCATTCTTCGGTATTTTCACTCGTGCCCAATATGGTCAATGAATTTAGGAGAGCTTTTCGAGAGTTTGGGAGTACCTGCTTAGACAACCTCTCCGTAAAAGAGAATAGGGCCATCAAATGGGTGAGTCAAGTCGGGTTTGAATTGGATCAGAAATAGTCCGATCCAAATTAACTCGTTCTACCCCATTTACAACAATACAAATTTAGTGACCTATCTCCGATCCATATTACCAAAGCACATCCATACGTAATAAAACCATTAGAAACCCATATAATTTGTCTTTTTATAGACTAACTACACACCAATTCGATTTCATTCTTCGACTTAAATAAAGGATTGACCAAGTATAATTTGAATAAAAAGAGCATGTGGCGACTTATGAGTAATGGTGGGCGCCTGCAAAGCATAACTTCTTTGTAATTTTTATACCAAGCGTAGCAGGTCTGTAGCAAAACATCATTTAAAACCTTCTACTTAGTAAATATGAATGTCTGATAAATTTTTATGAACACATCTGTAAGATGGATTGAAAAAGCAATGGCCTGAATTATAAACAAACTAGAGCCTGCCTATTTCAGCTAATCCGAGTCATTCTCACTGCAGAAACCATACATAATCAACCACTCATGAACATCGTCGCTTCAGCGTTGTGAAAATTTATTCGAACGAGAGGAGCAGCAAAAGCACTTTCAATGTGATAAAATGCCATATTCAACCGGTTCTAAATCAGCAGCAGAAGTGTCATTCATATATTCGATCGACATAAGCGCGCGCCTTTCTTCCCAACGGAAAACTATTAGTTGCCCCCCGTGCGTATAGACCCGGTCCATGCGATCGTACATGCATCGGGCCTACTATGCTCGGGGTGCAGGCGATAACGTATCTTTCCCAACAACTACAGAAGAACCGAAAGACATCGTTGTTGCTCAACATGACAAGCTCGACGGGTTCCTGGCATCGACTATCACCACCAGTCACAAGTGAGAGAACGAAACCAAACCAATATGCTTCGGCTGTCGTGGAAAAAAACTATTTTCTCATTCATCGAATTTGTTAAGGATAATCTTTCTATGAATGATGATTGAGAAACATTCGGATTGCCTAATGGATCACATCGTGTGTGGAAATGCTCACTATTGTCTCTAGGTATCTTTAAAACATTAATTACGTCCAAGTGCGAGAGTAGTTCTTGCTCTATGAGTTCTTTTAACCTAGTCTTTCTGTGAGTAGGAGGAATGTACTGTTACATTAGAAAAACGCATTTTTTCTCCTCACAGGTAAATTTTTCAAAGGAGCTAGTGAGTGTCAAAAAGATGTCGGTAAAAGGAGTTTCCGGTCACATGATTTTCGGGCAACTTATTTGTAATGTACCGATACTTTAATAAAATTACCAACTCATTTTGGCAATATGTAATTACAAGTTGGTAAGTTACTGACAAGTTGGCTGGAAAAAATGTCACCAATCATCTTTTTTACCAAGGGTTTCTTCACACTTACCGGTACCGAAAAACCTTCATATCTTTTCGCATGGATTAAATTCTGCTCCTAAGTATCAGCCAAAGTAGCAGATTATCCCTTGGTGCCAACAAGAAAAATATTGTGGGCTTCCAAATTATCTAAGAACAGGATATGCTTTTGTTCATTAACTAATAAAATTCACATGTAGGTATTTTTCTACACTGAAAGTTGATGTAATAGTAACCCGGATTCTAATAAGATCTTAGGAAGCTAAGGGTGCGTTTGGCAACCATTCTGTTCCCGGAAATTGATTCTGCTCAGAAATAATTCTTTTTGATTATGTGCCCAGGAACAATTTCTAAACATTTGAAGACGTTTGATAACTGCCCAAAATTTCTATTCTTGGAATAGGAAAAGAACAGAAATGCGTTTGGTAATTGTACAAAATTTCTTTTATTAATAATATTTTGAATTTTTGAATTTTTTTTCCCCTTCCTTGGCCATGGCCAGGTCGCCGGCACCGGCGAGGGCGGCTTGCGGCCTGGGCGAGGGCAACGGAGAGCACCAGATCCGGCAAGGGTAGCTAGTGGCCTGGGCATGGGCCGCCCTCGGCGGCCTGGGCGAGGGTTGCCCTCGCCAGATACGGCAAGGGAGGCCCTTGCCCAGGCCACAAGCCGCCTTCGCCGGATCTGGCGAGGGCGGCATCGAGGGCGGCCCTCGCCTAGGCCACTAGCCGCCCTTGCCGGATATGGCGAGGGTGGCGGCGAGGGTCGCCCACTCCAAATCCGGCAAGGGTCCAACTCTCGCCCTCACCGGCCCTTGCTTGTGGGTGGTCGCCGGTGGCCGGCGGTCGACGACCGGCCACAGGCCAAGAAGAAGAAGAAGAAGAAAAAGAAATTTTTTTTTTTTTCCATTTCTGATTCTTGTTCCCATAATTAAGAAGTAACTTTTTTTTGCTTCTTGATTTTGTTCCAAAACTGATTTTGGGAATAAATTTTTGCAAATTTGTGCCTGAGAACAAAAAATTTACCAAACGGATTTCTGTTCCAAAATTGATTCTGAGAATAAAATAATAAAAATAGTTACTGTTTGGCCGGTTGCCAAACGCGCCCTAAGAATAGATCGTGAAAGCCAAATGAAGAAGGATTCAAAAGGAATCGCAATCTAAAAGGGTTTTCGTCTGTAATATCTAGAATAAAGTCATGGAAGTTCGAAAAGAAGTGTGCATTTATATCATGGAAACAACATATGATCCAAGGAGGACAAGATGATGGATCATACTGAAGTCTCAAATCACCAGCTTCTGTCTGAAGGACAGTATTTTGGTCGCTGTCGACCTGAAGAGGACCAGAGCCAGCTGATCTGTTTTCCGGTGACCGCCGTCCTTTGTATCGATCGCCCTGAATGTCACATAGAACATGACCCCAGATACCGCTTGAAAGTTGGCCTTGACCATCCTCGAGAACTCTAGCTTCCCGTTCTTCATCATCGTCATCGTCATCGCCGTCATCGCCACTTGCTTGGAATTCAGTGACCTACGGGTCATGTCGAGGCCTTTCAAGATTCAGGGGACGGATTCGTGGGCACCAACAAGTTTTTCAGATTCATCGACGCCGAAATAGTAAATAGAGCAGAAGAAGAGAAAGAACTTGGTAACAGTGCCCTTACAAACAAGTCAAGGATCGACGACATACCAACTTACCGACCTCGCTCTCGTGAACCTGGTAAAAGTGTTCCTCAATCGCCTCTGGAACGACTTTTTCATCGTCTGAGCAGCAACAACGCATCTTCTTCTCTTTCGACTCCACGATTCTGATAGCCAATTGCTGAGAAAATAGAGATGACACACCAGTTGAGGTGAGACTGAGAATGGAGGATGATAAACCAGGATGTGATTCATGAGCTAGGGCTTCAATAGGACCGTACATCAGTTTGTGCGTGTCTATCGATTTGTCTGACTCTCATAGTAACATACTCGTACTTTTTGTGTAAAATTTGCATGTGCATGACTGATTTTCAATAAAACGTCCGTCTTCCGTCATTTGCTGAATTTATCGAATAACGGCCATTTTCTTGGACAAAAACGAAGTATGTACGTATTATAAAGTACTTATCGTACAATATACAGGGAAAAACACTTTGATCTTTTTACTTGTTTCATTTCTTTACATTAATCAATTAACAATATGACTTGCCAATTATCATTTATAGACTAAAATGCGGCTGTACAACATCATATGCACACAAATAAGTATGATATTTATTTGATTTCTCATGCTCCGAGTCTCGGCCCCTCACCGAAGCCTGAATTTTAACCGTTTCAGATAAGATGTTTCATAATAATCGGATTCCTGTGCTCAAGATCCTTGAATTACTGGAAAGAAAAAAGTCCATTTCCATGAGAGAATGGATGAACAAAAAGGGAAGCTAAGAACCTTGGAATAAATCTAGAGCGAGTGCATCAGGAAAAGAATCTCCCTTGTCTTTGCTGGAAAGCTTCAGTTCTCCCGTAAAAGAAAGAAAAACAACTGCACTCGATCCTTTGTTTACTCTCCCCCTGCACGTATTCTTCGTCTTCTCCTCCTTCTCTTCTCTCATATATCTACTGATGCGATTCATTCGCATTATGTTCTGTTCGTTTCCAATTCCTGACCCCATGCGAGAAGATAAGAGATAGAGAGAGTAAAATGGCCCCGTCTCTCAGTGTGATTTCACCAGTTCTTTTGATTCTAGCCGTACTTTCAACAGGTAGTATGTTCTCCCTGTATCATTGAATTGCAGACATGATTTTCAATTTCCGAAATGAGTCTGCGACATTATCTCAATGCTCGATCTCGAATCGAAATGAAACTAGAGATAGCTTTTCCAATTATCAGTACAATGGCATAAGAGAAAATAATCTTTGTGTTTGGTTTTTGTACTGTAGATGTTGTTCCACTCTAACTTATTTCCCATTCTATGCGCCAAATTTTTCCCTAGTCATTCTCATTTGATCAAATACCTTGTGGTAATTAAATGACAGCACCCGGGTTTTCCAATTCCGCGAGAATCTTCACCATTATCAACAACTGCAAAGAGTCGATATGGCCCGCAATCACCCCAGGCGAAAACTTCAACGGCGGCGGGTTCATCCTGAAACCCACCCAGTCCATCGTCTTCAAGGCCCCCGTCGGGTGGTCCGGGCGGATATGGGGCAGGACGGGCTGCACGTTCGACAAGAACGGCAACGGCACTTGCCAGACCGGGTCCTGCGGCTCCGAGCTCCAGTGCAAGGCCTCCGGGAATCCCCCGGCCACACTGGCCGAGTTCACCCTCACAGCTACTGACTTCTACGACGTCAGCCTTGTCGACGGGTTCAACTTGCCCCTAGCCGTGACCCCGATCAACGGCCAGGGGAACTGCAGCATCGCCGGTTGCGACCAGGACGTCCGGACCACCTGCCCGTCGGAGCTGTCGGTCAAGGTCAAGGGCAAGACCGTGGCGTGCCGGAGTGCCTGCGACGTGTTCGACACAGACGAGTACTGCTGCAGAGGGGTCTACGGCAATCCGGTGATATGTCAGCCCACATATTACTCCAAACTGTTCAAGCAAGCATGCCCGACCGCTTATAGCTACGCTTACGATGATCCCACGAGCATCTTCACTTGTGTAGGGACTGATTACGTGATCACCTTTTGCTCAGCCAGGTTGGTGAGTTCAACCAAGTCATTAATCACAACGACTTGATCCGAGCCCGTTTCCTAATCCAATTCGCGAGTAAAACCGACCCCTTAATTGCCTCGAGAATGGATCGACCGATTGATTAGTGCTAGGGAAATTTGTGAGTTACGAATTACGAATAACCTGAGGCTGATTTAATACCCTCGTCGTGTGTTTTTCAGGAATCAAACGGTGTGCACGTACCATGACAACAAGCTCGTGTGCAGCGGATCCAACAATGGCGTCAGATCACAGGCCGGAAGATTTGGAATCTGGTTGCTCGCATTGGCATCACTACTTAACTTGCTGAACATGTCTTAAATTTCAAAAGACGAAAAAGGAAATCAAATAAGAAAAAGAGAAAAATTCTTTTCTTTTTTATAAATAGTGTTTGTTCTTCCTGATTCTTTTCTTCCTCGTATGGAGTTCAGTGGTCGGTGGAATTGTCTCGGGGCTTTGTCATTTGGGCAACATCGAAGACGATCGAAGTTTTTCATTTCCATGGATTTGTCAGATTTCTCTGTAAATATGGAAATTCGGTATATGATTAAACTTTTTTTTTTCCTGGATCATGATGAGTTATGCATCTTATTAGCCCTTACGCTGTAATTGTTCTGAGGGGGGAGGGGAAAATCAATTGCAGATTAAACTAATGCTCGGGAGGCCCATAAGCCCGAAAGAACATGAAAGGGCTTGGCCCAATTCCTCCTACGTCATCTTGAATGGCCCAACCCATCTTATGTAAGGCAATGACATGGCCATGTGAAATTTCTTGAGTAAAGAAAAATCTTCCACAAAGAATTACTAAAAAAATTTGGAAAAAAAAACCACAAAAACCCCAAACTATAATTTTAGAAGTGATAAAAATGAACCGTCCAGACCGAACCAGACAGAACCGATCAGTTTCGGACGATTCCCAGTTCAAAAAAAGTGAAATCCTAATTTTCGTTCCGGTGCCTAGTTTCATATGTGCAACCGCCCACTCAGATCGAATCAATTATTTTTCTTTTACAATTCTTTTTTTGGTTCATGAGGAGCTCCTTGGAGGCAAGCCCATAAGGAGACAATTTCACACGCCATCGTCATCCTTATAAAATATATTGCAATCTCCCACATTTCCAAAACCTTATCAGCGACGATGCTCGATTAAACCTTAATCTATCAACTTTGGACATTGATGAAGCATCACCGAACTCGAAAACCTAGATTGGCTCTTGTTTCCTCCAATGTACTCTTGATTTCTCGGCTCAAGAATGCTTTTGCGCCGATCGATGTGCTTTTGGATTTGGCAGGTGATTTAGGGTGCGCATGACAACCATTCTGTGCCCGGGAACTATTTCTGAACAGAAATGATTTTTTTTTATTCTGCGCCCGGAAACAATTTCTGTGCATTTGAAGGCGTTTGGTAAACTGTCCAAAATTTCTATTCCTGGAATAGAAAAGAACAGAAATGCGTTTGGTAACAACACAAAAATTTCTTTTTATTAATAATATTTTGAATTGTTTAATTTTTTTTTTCTTTCTACCCAGGCCATGGTCGGTCGCCGGCGACCGGCGGCCGACGACCGGCCACAGCCCAGGGCCGGCGAGGGCGTCACGGACCTAGCCAACCGCCGGCGGAGGCGAGGGTCCCCCTGCCTGCGAGGGCGAGGGCTAGACCCTCGCAGCTTGGGCGAGGCGGCTCGCCATCGGTCATGGCGAGGTCGGCCTCGCCCAGATCGGGCGAGGCCGAGCCTCGCCGTCGCGACCCACGGCGAAGCCGCCCTTGTCGTGGGTCGCGACGGCGAGGCTCGACCTCGCCAGATTTGGGCGAGCAAGAAGAAGGTTGCTCATAAGAAGGTGGCCGATACGGCCAAGAGAGGAGGAAAGGCTGCACCTCTGACAACATCATCGAACGCCGACTGTGCATGGAGCAGGTCTGGTCTCCTTCATTGGCTCCCACCCATCACTCTTCTCAAGCCGACTGTGCATGGAGCAGGTCTGGTAGAATCGAGAACTAGACTGGAATTGGCCGGTACGGTCCGATCTAGTTCTCAATTTTAAAATATTGAAACCAGGAGTCATTGTCGGTTCTCGATTATAGGTCGAAAACCAATAACTCCTAATCACTTTTACCACGATTTTTTTCTTATAATATCAAAAATCTCAAATTATACTCATTTGACATATTTGCTCTAGTTTTTTTTTTGTGATATACAAAACCCCAAACTCGTACCTATATAACACATGTACTTCCCATCAAGGTCTCGTTAAATGATTTTTTAGTAAAAATAACGTTGTTTTTATTTCACTTAAGCCACGTGGGCATTATGTCCACACTATTTGATTTCTGACATTTATGTATGCAGATTTTTAACGGTTCTCATTGTCAGAATTTTGATATATCATACATGTACAAATTTGAGATTTTTGGCATAGTTTGTGGTAAATGTGACAAAGTGGGCATAGTTTAGGATTTTTTTTGTAGCTTTTACCGTAATTTATATTGAACGCTCAACAAAAAGAAATTTTTAGTCACTTCCTTTGAAAATTAATTTCTCTCCCTCACACAATATAAAGCCAGAAAATACTGAAAACAAAAATTAGTGAAAAAGAACGCAGAACAGACGCAGAGATGGCCGGTACTGCAGCAGCCGCCGGAGGCGGCGGAGGAGGGAAGGTCTCCTTCAAGGTCACTCTCACCTCCGATCCTAAGCTCCCCTTCAAAGTGTACGTTCGCCGCATCGATCTCTCTCTCTCTCTCTCTCTCTCTCTCTCTCTCTCTCTCTCGCTCGCGGCCTCTTGGTTCACGCTTTTTTGTTCTTGATATCTCGATTTCCATCTCTCATTTTTCGTTCTTCGTTCGAACGCGTGATGCACGATCGATTCAGGTTCAGCGTCCCGGAGGGAGCTCCGTTCACCGCCGTCCTCAAATTCGCCGCCGAAGAATTCAAAGTGCCTCCTCAAACCAGCGCCATCATCACCAACGGTACGTTAGTTTTTTGTCCGGAATTTCCTCGATCTAGGGTTTCGTTTTCCGCGTTTTTCAATTTTGCAATTGGCGTCGCTTGATGTCTGATTGTAAATTTTATCAAGTCGTGTGTTTGGCTAATTGAGGGGATTGGAGGTGAGCCTCCACTTGATTTGAGAGTCTCTTTGAAGAACTCTTTAACTTGGCCCAGGACATTGCGTTAGAGCTTCCCAGGTTCATCTTCTAGTGGATAGTTGTCCAGACCACACTCTTCACAGCTGGTTTGGTTAATAACGAATGCATGCTGCAACAAGGATAGCACTTGATTGTTGTGTATGTGTAAGAATCTATGTGGGCATATCTGCTGCTTAAATGGAAGCCATGGGCTTGGTGCTTGAGCTGTCTCGATGGGGCTTTGCCCTTTATTTGGCATTGCTATCATTCATATGAGTCAAGATGGATTAAGCAGAACTTTTTTATTTTGGGTACACTTTATCATTATAAAGGCTTTCCGCTAATAAATGGATAATTTTCTGTTTCTTTGGTTCCTCCTCCTTCTTGAATATCTTCGTTATATTCTTGTGTTTATCATATTCAAACTTCTTCGGAAGAGAAGATTCGTTTGAGTATGTATCAGAAGATCTATCGAGAACAATTGGAAGTTCAATACTCAGAAAAACCTTATGTTCTTTGGAAGTTGTAAGATCAGCATCTTAAGAAAGCTTTGGACAAAAGTACCTAAGATAAAGCTGCAGCAGCATAAGTTTCTTCTTTGAGGATCTAAGATAATGAGGGTCATGAGTAGGATACTATGTGAATGCGGTGACACATCAAGTCTTGCATTTAGGACTTAGTACGCTTAGGAGGTCCTAAAATGAACACTAATCATGCACACGCAGAGAAACTTTTCTTCAGGATCTTAGCCCAAGGAAAATTAAAAGAACCAGAAAACAAAGAAAGAACTGCCCCCTTGTTCGTCCTATAGCATTTTCTTAGTTTCTGTTTCAAGTAATATGTTTTGTCAAAAGTTTATGTGATAAATACAACAATCAGGAACAAGAATAAAGGCAGCCTGGGAGAATGTGTTAATTGATGGATTTAAGGAGTAACTCTGCCCCCTGGGATTCTAGACTACAGCTCACTGCAATCTAGATAGTAATAGCTATGTAACTTTTCCTTTCAGAAGAACCATTTACTCGCTGCCTGTGAGCAAATATCTTATGAACCGCTATATAACATGTCTTTGATATGAATATTGGCATGTTATAACAGTTAGAAGAAGAGATGAAATTTGAAAACTTAATGCATATGTCATAATTTCCTACTGAAAGTATGGAAATCCATGTAATGTATTGGTAGCCCGGTGGGGTACGAAACCCATGTTATGATAGTGATAATTGGAAAGAATGTCTTTCCCTTCTGTCTACTCCCACTGGGGATCTCTTGAGTTTTTCTTAGTTGTATTTAAATGTTAAATATTTTTTGAACCAAATAGTGTAGTTTAGCCATATCTAAAATTAGATGTTCCAGGATCAACATATGCATTCTTTCTGCTTGTAGTCCTTTGAGTGCCTGGGTGGAATAAATAAGAAGTTTGTCCTGTTATACTGGTGAATATTGATGTATTTTCAACTAGCAGATCAGCGAATAAATTTCACATACTTGAATAAAGAGGAGCTGTAACTTTGGAGCTCAAGGTAATGAATGATGACGATGTAGGTACAGTGAGATGTCAAGGAATGGCTTATTTCCTATTTGAGGGTAGACTTTGAACGTGATTTTAGAAGCTATTAGGTTTTAAAAGGGTTAGCTTAGAGCTTGAGGAGCGTCATATGAGAAAAACAAATTCAGCCTTGTAAGTGACATCGAGGCACAAGTACATCAGTGTCTGACTAGAGTGGCACAAGATGTGAAGGGTTACAAGAATCTACATTAGGTATGTTCATATGAAACAAGAGAAGATACAGTGCGCCGGATAGTCAAATTTTGAGTTAAGGGAGGAAAAGATTGGAGATAAAGCTCTGGTTCCGTTATAGTTTTTTAACTGAAATTCAGCCTGGGGGTACGCTAATTCTTTTTTGAGTTACTGTCAAGCATATGATGAGGGAGTTCCACAATTTCTAAATTAAGTGTTGTGCACAATATGTTGGAGATCTGTTAGTTCTAATAGGTGCTCTCTATCTTAGTCTAAGTTAAATATGTTTGCAAGCAGATTTAATTGATTCATCCAACCTATGACCGAATAAGTTAGAAAGAAGGTAATATGTGGTTGTACTGTTGATTCTTAATGTTGACAAAAGACGGGAATATGTCCTGTTATTACTATTTAAAAATCATGCTTTTGTATTCATTATCGCTTAAGGTTATATATTCATGCTTGTTTGTAGGTTAGATCGAGAGGAAAGAAAACTTAACAGATGGAATTTAGCCTTAGGCTGAGATTTTTCATGCTAACAGGGCATGATCATGCACATCATTTTTAAGATTTTGTGTTCACGTAAAAGGTTCAGGCTCTCTCTAGTTTACTGCGTAATTATGTGGTGCATTTGCATCTAGGGCGTTGAACTTTTTACTGCTTGTTTGTGCGGTGCATCTGGTTCTAGCCTTCTAGGAATTTGAGAGCAAAGGCCTTGGACGGGACAGGTCCGACTTTTGCGATGAGAACCCTTTGTTGGAGGATAATTTCCTAAAAATTGCTGATTGGGTGTCTGTGTTACTAGAAATTTTATTTTACTCGGAAGGTTTCTTTCCCCATTCATTTATATTTTGGCATTTATCTTTGTATACTTAGCCATTAGCATACACTCAACTTCTGCAGCTTATGTGCCCATAATACATGAACGGATACTATTTTTGGTTATAAGCTAAAATGGTTTGGAGGGTTGAATTCTCGAGCAAAAATTTTGAGGGAGTGATAGCATTCAGAAACTATGACTTCGCTCTTAAATATCTTGGCCTGGTCTCTACAATATATTGCAAACACTTGCACTGGAAACCGACAATCAGACAGAGTGCTGCCCATTGGGGGGCCTGCATCCGTAGGTTTTGTATCCATGGGAAGTATTTGACTTAATATAGAGTCTCATAAGTGCTTTTCGAACTATTAGAAAGCCGTAGCTGTGGGTGGCTTTGTCTGACTGTTAGCCAGTACATCAAGCTTCAGCGCTAGATATTTTAAGCTTACAATTTATTATTGTGTACTCTATTGACTCTTCCTTACTTTTACAGATGGAGTAGGCATTAACCCTCAGCAAAGTGCCGGTATGTCATGGCCTTTTTCCATCCTGTTCTGTTTTTATTTTTCAGTTTCCATAATTAAAAACGAAAGAAAAAGACATTTGTATGATGTCCATCCTGCTTCTTATTGGACCTATACAAGTGATTTCCTTTCCAGTCTCCGCTAATCTCTTACTAATTTTCAAAACAGTTATATCAACTAGTCTAGATTCTTGTTTGCTTATAGAAACAACTTTTAAAAACTGCAGGTAATGTCTTCCTGAAACATGGTTCAGAGCTGCGCCTGATCCCTCGTGATAGGGTTGGAGCATGCCGATCGCCATCGGTGTGAGCATGTTTCTAGTTACTCTTACCTGTAACTTGACATGCTATTGTCCTTGGATACTTCTTCCTACTAAAACTCTCCATGATCGATCTACTACTGTTGGCATCAAACAAGTTAAAATTGTTGTGTGAATTACAGATGAGAAACAATAAAGATTGAAGGGTGGAGAGAAATGGGCTGTTGCTCTTTTTATCGTGGACAGCATTAATATTCTGGCCACTGGTACCGATGATTTAATGTTGCTGGGAGAGGTGACCCCAATGGGCATTTGTTGTTTTCCTAGTGAATCTGTGAGGTTGGTGGGGTTAGATATGATATTATTAGAGGTGGAGGTCCACATTTCTGCTCACCATATCTATCGTCGGTTCATTAAAAAATTGTTCAAAGTGGTAAGAGTGGACGAGCATTGAGCAGAATTGCAGATTATGCATAATTGTTAGTGGGATTCTGAAGCTGACTCGTGAGTTAATTTGTGTGTCGGCCCACGGCATTCACTTTCATTGTCCCCTGAACAACCATTTTTTCGCTTGTTGGCTCGTTGAAGAACAGGCAGTTCACAACACATTTAAGTTTTCCAATTTTGGGAGGAGTGGGTGCGGTGGAAAGCAATTTGTAAACTGAGACGAGAGAGCCAGTCATTGCTGTATAGAAATGGACACGAAAACGAAATCTGGAAAGAGACGGGATTTTACCTGTGGAAGTGGACGTGTTGAAGGATGCGTGTCGTATGAGGAAGTATGTGATTTTATGTGTATGCCGCGCGATGTTCGAAGGGTCACATGTTTAACCAGGTGACCCCGTTTTCATAAGTTAAAAACTAGACAAACATGGTTGTGTAACTGTGGGGTGTGACATACCTCTGAGCAATGATGATATAGAAAGTAAACTTTCTCGTGTTAGGTACGCTCAATCCTTCCAAGAACAAGGAGAGAATCAAAAGATGACTATCCTGTCCTAGCTCACGGCAAAGAAGTTGGAATCAGGTGCACCGTGGCTGTGTCTGTTGCCCATTGTAGCCGATGTTACGCTCGTAACATTTCTTTGTAGCTGGTGTTTTTGACTAATAATATGAGTACGAACGATATGTTGTTTTTTGAGAGAAGACTGGACATGGGTTATTTTTCACACAGCAAGCATACGAGGAAAATTATCTAAATAGTCATAAACCTACAATACGAAGGTCGATTCAGTTCTAAATATTTTAATTGTATCAATTTAATCTCAAATCTTTTAAAGATTTGCCGATTACAATAAGTTTATGATTTTTTTGGACAATAAACTCCCATGCACGTGTGTCATTGTGCTGTAGACAATGAATAGGAAGTAGCAGATCCATGACGTATCGCGGCTCGATGCAGTCCCCCTTGACTTAACGTAGGATTGACTATGAGTATGAGGCTTGTGAGTGGATCCAAGTATCGAAGATGGCTGAAAATTACCAGGGAATTTTTAGTCAATGCCCTTTAAGATCAAGTGGAAGCCAGAACTTGCCAAGATCAAAAGCTCAACTTCTTCACATGGATCTTGACAATTTCACAAGAGTTAGCTGGCAAGAAGACGGGACGTTCTGATCCACTAAAGAGAGAGGGAGAGAGGGCATGAATGAAGCTAACTGTATTCCGTACTTTTCTTTTCGATTCGACAGCCAAACGTCCTGGCCTTGCCAAAGGGTACTCCGCACACCCAAAAATTTCATCAAGAAGTCGTCTCAGGAAAAAAGAGTAGGACGCACGTTTTCAGAAATTGGAACCTCCCAAAATTGACGGGGAGAAAGGCGCGGCAGATTTGTGTAAATTCATTCATAATGATGCCGCTCCCCTTACCCCCAAAAGGAAGTCACAGAACATTCTAATGGAGGCGTTAATTAGTAATAAAAGAAAAGGGTAAGTCAAGCTAGAGAATGATGCACAGCTGGTTCATATCGTACAAGATCCAATGGAAGATGGAGGAAGAAAGCGCATGTCCCGGCAAGCTCATTAGCTTCCCCGCAAAATCCGCCTCCCCCTCGTTCTTTGCCCAATCCAAAAAACCCTTTTTGAGCTCCTCAATTTTCCATTCCATCTTCGCAAGCATCCGTTGCGTTTCCATCTTTATCGACTTACGCCCTATGTATGCTCATTCTCTCCTAGGGATGAGCAAATTTCACTTGACACTTATCCATTGGAACATATTTTTCATTTTTTTGGAAACTATTACTTGCCGTGTATACCTTAAAACCGACCCTACCATAGATTCTAGAGTCGGTTGCATCTGAATTAATTGAACGATTGTAATGAATCATGACCTTTTATGATCACCACTTGCGGTTATAGTCTACTTATCACGATTTATATTTAGCACATGAAAAATATGAAATATTAACAAAGAAAAAATCTCAATCATAAAATAGAAAGTTCGGACTAATGGTTCCGAACTATACACTAATCATCGGACACGATGGAATATCGTTAGGTCGTGTGAAGACATAAACCGAGAAAAACATAAAAACTTATTCCAGGTTCCACCTACGTAGAACCTGTAACCTACCCGTCGAAACATGTTCCTCAATTTTTTGAATTTGGAACCCACCCTTCATACCCTGAAACCTAGAACCGGACAAGTTCCCACAAATTCGGTTTTTCTGTTCTAGATTCTCCCCTGGAACCATGCTCATTCCTATTATCTCCTTTTGGTCTTTAATGACCGTATAATAACTTGAATCAGCTTTCGCAAACCAATCGAAGATTCGATACCCTTGATTTTGTCGGAAGCGATGCCGCGAGATTACAAAGTTTGTCACATGTAATTACAGTCCCTTTTTGTGATCGCCTATGCTTTCAAAAGAGAGGAATGTTACGTATTCTAGTAAGGGGAAAGAGAATCATCTCGACGAGGACGGCGATAATTGGCATAGAGGTTACATCCATGTTGATCTCCTATCGTCCTAATAAGATCTCTTGTCTTGTCCAAGCGTTACGATGATATGCACGACTCATTAACATTATCCGCACAATGCCGACATGTCGAAGCGAAGGACAGTTAAGTTCGAACAAAGCAAACCAACGTTTTCTTTTTCGGCAGAAAGATGACCCGGCATTTAAAAATTAAGACATTCGATCGGCTTATAAAAACATGCCCCTAATTGTTTTTGGAGGAACAGAACCTTCACCCATTCAGATAATATAAAAGAAGGGTTTAAACACAAGACTAAAGTGCACAACTCCCGAATTAGAAAATGTACTTCTTGGTTATAAAGTAATAGGTTATCTGCGCGGATTAAACACAAGACACGCATTCGGCTTCTCATCTAATCAAGCGTATATAGTTTTGCGTTGACGTGGCTAGTCGCTTGTCTTTCGACTTATGCGCCCGATATTTTTTGCTGCCGAAACTTACTCTCTTTTCTTTAAAATGAATTTTTCACGTCATTAAAAAAATATTTAAATTTTTGGATACTCCCCAAATATTTAAAAAAAATAAAAAAAAAGGGTCCGACAATCCTATCGAAGTCATTTAATTAAATGGGTACGGGAGATTCATTCTTGGAGTAGTCCACCACAACCACACCACCATGTTTTAATCAAAAGACAAAGGAGGGGTGCGTGTGGTCTTCGGTGTTTATTGGGTACGTTCTAAATGCGTGGGAGGCCATACAACGTTGTCGTTAAGCGTTCATCGTCGTTGTCGAACAGTATGTTTCTATACTTTTCCCTCACGTCGGGGAACATTTTTGGGGACTGTCCGTTTCCATAATTATCAATTCCCTCTTCTTTTTTCTCTCTAATTTAATTCAGCTTTTCAACTGCTCCCCACTAAAATTAGGCTCGTACTCGGTCACTAATTTATGACCAACTTATTGAGAGTGTATAGTAAAAATTCAATACATTCATCCGGATAGATCGCCATATATTAATTGCTCTACACTATACCAATTTTTCCGATATTAGATTTGTTCTCCTTAATTCAAGTAATTATGCCATATTAACTTATCTCAACTTGAATTTCCTAGGCCCTCTTTCATACTCGATCTCTTTCTCCAGGCCAAACCACGGGAGGCTACCACCAAGCTTGCATTACTACACCACAACGTCCACCAATCGGATTCCTTTTTTGAGAAATTCACCGAATATCAGAATAGATCGAAGGCCCACCAATCTACCATCGGCTTTGATATCATTTGTTGGGAGCGTGCAACGGAGGTTCGATATCTTTACCAGGGAAGATCGTCAAGAGGGGATCCAAGTCTGGGCCCGTTAATATATCCAGTTGAACTCACCTTCATTCAAAAGCTCAAGCCAATGAGTAATGATCCAACTATGATATATCAACTATTCCACACCATATCAATTGTCCGATGTATGAATTTTTTAAAATAACTCACACGTGCATCCTAACACGCCTATCTTTAGTTTTGATTAAAAAAATGATTCACAGCATTGATATAAGGATCTTTGCAAGCTCTTCAATGATTCACCCATATGCTCAAAATATTCTATTAAGTTCCGTATCGATACCAATTAATAAGTAAGAATAACGCATGATATATTAAAAGTGATTCACAATATTGATATGTTAAATAATATGGTAAGCTATAAGTGTAAGGAAGTAATTAGATAAGTGGGGTCATATTAGATATCGAATTAGAGTCTATCACATGATAAAGTATATTAATTTTACAAACGAGCTTTCGTTTTTTCTTTTTTTAAATCGAGGATTATAGTCTTTGCATCGGGTAAGCACAAATTGCATCGTTCCTTTTTTTTCTTCTGTTTTTTGTTGGGGGGGCTTTCCGCTTTGCTTTGGAATAAAATAAAGGCGAAGCCATTCCAAGCAGATACATCAATATATGTCATTGCCTCGAAAAGGACGATGCGAGCATAATCAAATGATGAAAAAGTTGGTCAATCGGAAGAATAGAGGGCCAAAAGCGTTGCCATAAAGCTCAAGGCAAATGCAAAAGGAGATATTTAGTTGGGGGTGGGGGGGACTCACTTCGCTTGACTTTTTGCTTCTGTACCAACGGCCATCTCCGGCTAATTCAATCGACAAAATTACTTTATCAGTCGTAAATTTATTGTACGAATATCAATCCGGCACTCGACATGTAAATTTTGCCAATTTAGTCTCGAATTTTTGCTCATAATTTCATATCAGCAATTTCCGACGAAAATTGATCGATATGGATTATATTGGAATTTTGCGCAAAGATTTAGGATTAAATTGACAAGTTTAGAGCTGAATTCATATTTATATATGTTTATAACTAATTGGACAATTCCTCGTAAATTCAAGTATATTGCGAATCGTATCAATATAGCTAGTTGCTTTAACGGCACTTTAGGTTTGAGCAAATCAATGGTAATTAGCAAGGACCACGAGAGCAGGCCCTGGATAGTTTAAAGCTCGTAATCATAATTAAAGTGGAAAGGAAACACTGCACCTAGAAAGAGAAATCTTGATTATTCTTGGAGAGTCACTTACTGCTTAATTCTAGGATTTGGGTCTTGATTCGAGCCTCTTTTCGTTGCCTCTTATCCGTTGAATCACAACACATGCAGATGTCTATGTTTATCAGATAATCGCGGTCAAAGGGACCCATCATGAGACACGATACAAGCTGGTCTTCGCATTAATCAAATGCAGCCAAAGAGCTCGCGTCATTATTGAAATGCTGACTTGCTGAGTACAGCCAAACCCCTTGTAAACCACATCACTTCGTTATCAAAAGCAAAGGCTGAAGATGGAATAAAACACTCCAAAAGCTCGGGCATCAAGGCACAGCAATCAGCAGCCACTTCAAGGTTGAAGAGGAAAAATGTATACCTTCCCTGTACAAGAAGAAAACACTTGCTTCTCCGGAAAGAAATCGCCGCCCATTTTTCCTGGTGCATTTCTTACTTTCGCACTAGATGTGATAAGCGGAATTAGTGATGATACAAACATGCCGGTGAGGTTATAAAGAGAGTCCGTACCTTCTCAGAAATATGATAAGAGCTATCTCGCGGCGCGGGATTATACAATAATGATACGGATCAAAATCGGGTATGGTAATTGGTATTGCCCAGAAGTTATTACGTTGGTTTCCCAACATTTTTTCACGTGAGGATCTAAAACAGTGCTGCTTTCATGAGGCTCTTGTTCCTTCCTCAACAAACCAAACCGCTTCTTGCAAAGATTTTTAGTAATAAAACCACTTCCTGGCGTGATACAAACACGACAAAGAAGAAACTGTTCAATGTTCCCCCACCACAACAAAAGTAATAAACTCGAAGCACACTCCTCAACAACGAGAAGAGAAAAAGAGTAGTAGCTTGGTACAGGGACGATCTCACTCCTAAAGCTTTTCACCTTCTCTCTCTGTATCTCTCTCTGGGTGTGTTGTTGCTTGCTTGTATGGCCATTGGGAAGGCGAGTGCAAAGGCCATGAAGAGCAAGAACAGCTGCTGCATCCTCGGCTACAGTAGCAGCTCCCCGAGCCCCCCGCCGTCCCCCCGCCGCGGCTCCGCCGTCGGACACTGCCGGAGGAGGCTCCGGGGCAGGCCCAGCCTCGCCGCCGGCGTGATCCGGCGGAGTGCCCGGTACCTGGCGGCTCTGGCCCTGCTCTACTTGGGTGGGTTGCTCATGTGCGTGGGCCCCTTCTCTTCCCTGGTGGACCTCCTCCTTCCACCCCCTGGCTCTGTCTATCGTAGCCATGAGATCTTCCACAAGCTTTGGCCTATAATACACTCTGATAATTCTTCTGCAATTGAGGTCTCTCTCTCTCTCTCTGTAACTCTGTTTTGAGTTCTTGTTTGTTTGTTTTTGTTCTTTTTATGCTCTTTTTGTGTTTTCTATTCTCAAATGTTCTGTAATTTTGTTGTTTTTCTCATTGACTAAAATGCTGGTGCTCGACCCTGTAGCGTGGCTCTGTAGGAAGCAGCTTGAAATTTCTTGATTGGGAAAGAGAATATGAACAGTTATTTTATTTATTTATTTTCTTTTTTTCTGTCATAGCTCCCTGTTTGCTGTACTAATGTAGTATTGTTTTGATTGTTGTCTTGTGCTGGATTTTATTTTCTGGAAAGATAGGAACTTGTTCGGTCCATTTACCAGTATCAGTTCCGTGTTCTTTCGCTTGGCACAGTGAGAACTCGCAGATCACAGAGTGCAACCATAACTTTGCCTTTTGCAAATGTTTCGTCAGTCTGTTCAAATCGAATAGTTGTTCATTGGACAAATTGTGACCTTCTTTTACTTTCAAGTGCAGCTCTCTCTCTCTCTCTCTATCTTTCTCTGGGATAACCTTGTAATCCATTTGTATTGGTCCTTGAATGCTGTGTTTTATGGAACTTGTTACAGTTGGAAACTCTTTGGACATATAAGAGGAGGCTCAAAGAGCAAAGACCTTGTTTAAGTACAATTGTTGGACAACATTTTGGTCTCTCCAATGGCACAGGTAAAGCTCCAACATTTTTAGATGGACTTTAATGCTTTTCTTCTAGAGATATTTCCTTGTTATTGGGAAATAGAGCGGCACAATATGCGTGCTGATCATGTCCGCCAAAAATGCTCAGAAACCAAACAGATCACCAAGCTCACATTTTATTATACTCTTTAGTCCATACGAGAAATGATTACCCTTTTTCGATGCAATTATAATGAAATGAATTGGTTATGTACTGTGTTATTTCAGAAGCGAAAGAAACGAGTGGATACTTGATCGTTGAAGCCAATGGTGGTCTTAATCAACAGCGCTCTGCAGTAAGAAACTTCTTATGTGTAATAAAAATATAACTGTTAGTTTCTTGTGACCGTTATTGTGGAAGTTATATCCATTTTGTCTATGTAAGAGGGGGAGAGAAAGGATTTCCAACCTTTAGATCTATTTGTTTTTGGCATGAAGCATTGACGTATCCCTTCTAATATATTCCTAATGCCTCTCATTGTTTAATCAGATTTGTAATGCAGTGGCTGTCGCTGGGATTTTAAATGCAGTACTAGTCATCCCTCGCTTTGAATTCAATGGTGTTTGGAGGGATCCCAGGTGATTAGCCAACTCACTTTGCTTCTCATCAGAAGGAATATTGATAAGCAGTAGTTCCTGTATACATCGTGGTAGTGTCTCATGTGTTAGCGTGCCCGTAAACGTAGATCTCAATGCTCGTCTTCCACCCACTCCACTACACTTATGCTCTTGCATGTGTGACTTGATACAACTGGCCATAATAATGTGGATGGACCGATCAGATAACCAGAAATTGGTCCACGACTCTCATTGATGTATCCTAAAGAGAGGGGAACTTGAAGTCGTGCTCGTGCATGATATCATGCTTAATCTTTCCAGCTATACTAGGACAGTTTTCAAACGAATTCTTGACATGCTTGTAATAAAATGAAATTATTTGACAGTGAGTTTGGAGATATATATGATGAGGATCATTTCATTGCCACGCTCGATGGCTATGTGAAAGTGATTCGTCGATTGCCGGAGGGAGTGATAGAAAGATACGGTCACAACATCACAAATATGCCAAACATCCGTGTCCCGGCTTGGGCTACTGCCAAGTACTATATGAGAGAAGTTTTTCCTGTCATAAAGGAACAGGGGTAAGCACAAACATCCATATCTTTATTTCTAATTTGCGATATGTTCATCTAAGAAGGATCTGCCTATAGTCCTCTCAAAGATCATTAGCATGCCTATAAAGATGAGCACGGAGGGAGATCATTTCATCCTGCATGTGGCTTTGTTTCGATTCTCTTCCCTATGAAGGTTAAGGAGATCATTGGAACTTGCTGCTAATACAGTTGAACATCAATGCAGGGTAATCCGACTTGCCCCTTTTGCCAATAGATTGTCAATGAATGTGCCGCCTCATATTCAATTGCTAAGATGCCTAGCAAATTTTAAGGCATTGCGATTCTCTTCCTCAATAGCAGTACTCGCAGATAAAATAGTTGGTAGAATGAAAGAGAAGAGCTTGAGGACTGGCGGAAAGTATGTTTCGATCCACCTTCGCTTTGAGGAGGTACTACTGCCTATTACACTACAATTTGTCCACCCCATGAGAAGGTTGTTTGTTTCCCATTTATAATGATGTGGTCTCCCCCTTAACTGTAGGATATGGTGGCCTTCTCATGCTGTGTTTATGATGGAGGCAAGACTGAAAAGTTGGAACTTGACATGATCCGAGAAAGAGGTTGGAAAGGGAAGTTTAAAAGGAAAGACCGCATTATCGCACCTGGCCTTAATCGGCTGGAGGGGAAATGTCCTCTAACGCCTTTGGAGGTGCTCTTACTTGAACTATCTGGTCATTTTATACGGACATATGATTGCTTCCCGTAAAATATTTTTAATCTTTATAGTATTGCTGTTTGGTTGAATAGGAAGTTCTTGCATGATGTTTTTCTGTCAGCATAGGTCGGGATGATGCTACGCGGCATGGGATTTGATAACACCACTTCATTATACTTGGCCTCAGGAAAAATTTACCATGCAGAAAGGTACTTAACTCCGCTGCTGAAGATGTTTCCTCTTATTTATACAAAGGAGTCTCTTGCAACCCCTGAAGAACTTGCTCCATTTGCGGTAAATGTTCTTACTCTCGCTTCCAATAGTGTCAATTTGGGGACCCTGGGATAGATAGGTAATGCAGACATACTGGTTTTGCACATTGTTAAATCTCTAGGTGACGCAGATATGCTAGTTTTGCACATTGTTAAAGTTCATGCCTTACCTTATATGCTCGCATTCCATGGACTCTATCTCATTAATCGGATATATCGGCATATTACACAATTTGTCCGGTCAGAACGTAACTTGCACTATCACAAGATCTGGTTATAACTAGTTTTAGCCATGAGTGGAGCATCTTCGTAGCGTTTACCTCTGAGAAGTATCGACCCTTATTTTAAGAACTGCATCTTATATATCATGATTGTGAAAGCTTAGGCTCCCAACTTCTTCCCCGAGTTAACCTGGAGACAACAGGAAATTGGGAACAACCAAATTAGTGCTGACTAAAATGGACAAAGATCTAATCTTGTGATGCTCTCTGGAGCTGCAAGTTACCTTGTTTGAGTAGCCCTTTTCTCTTCTGCAGGGTTATTCTTCAAGGTTGGCGGCTTTAGATTACACAGTATGCTTGTTCAGCGAGGTTTTTGTGACAACTCAAGGTGGGAATTTCGCGCATTTCCTCATGGGCCACCGAAGATTTCTATATGGTGGACATTCGAAAACCCTTAAGCCTGATAAAAATAAGCTGGTTCTTTTACTGCAAGATGCAAGTATAAGGTAATGTCCCTGAATCCTTTTTCCGAAAACTCTCTGGCTCTCTTTTCCCTCTCCTACTCCCTTTAGAGTAATTTAGAGTTGCCAAACTAACTATTTCTGTTCCATGAGAATTCATATTTTGCATTGTGTAACTTCATACATGATACATCCATATATAGTTGCAAGTGCACAAAAAAGTACAGTAAAAAGCATCTTCCACTGAACGAGTACTTTACTTGACCTAAGTTGCATATTAAAGCATGTGCTGAAAATTGTTAAAGTTCAGAAGTAATCACGTCTTATACCAGCTAGACACTCTGGACAAAAAGAGGCCCTGGCTTATAAATTCAAGAGCGACCCATTTTTCTGCGGTAAACTGAAGGCTTACATTTTGTTAGGCATCTCACATCAATTACCCTTATGATTTGTACAGAATGCATGTAATATTACTTCTTCGAAGTCTAAGCTTGGGTTAAATTTTTTAACATGATTTCAAAGCCAAGTTTCTTTTTCCCATGATTTTGTCCATGCATCCATCCTGGTTGTGAGTTTCTTGTTTATGTTTATCCCACGATCCATGTCACTTTCTTTTTTAACCTATCCCTCTGTCCATCCTTCAGCACGTGAATTGGGCTGACATTGATTTTGAATGTAACAAACACAAGATTCCTATCATGTTACTTACTCCACCTAATAGTTAAGAATTTTTAACGAGATATAGACAAGATATGAATGGGATATTTTTTTAACAATGCTATTACCAAGTCAAAGGAAGATGCACTAGTGATAAGTTCTCACTATATTAACTCTGGTGGTTGTTGCCCATGAATGCAATCATCGTGGCCACATTCCTGGACAAATATTCTTATGAAAGATGATAAGAAGGGAAGTTGCTATAGATATCTGTTTTCTCACCGCTGTCTGTTTCTGTGTAATTGCAGTTGGACATCCTTTAAGCTTCAGATGGAGGCGATGCTTAGGGAGAACGATCGCAAAGGCATGATCGTACCTAGAGTCAAAAAGTTTAACAGAAAGACTTCCATTTATACCTATCCTTTACCGGAATGCGGATGTCTCCAGCAATCGAATGACTCAACACACAGGCTTGCGCACACATGGAACGTCGAACCCGGTACTGGTAGATAGCACAGCCAATTCATAGTTATCTCAAACTTCCGCTCAATTGTGCAGTTACCCAGATTTGATTTTTCCTTTTCTCCTTGCTGAATTTGAATTTGTGAGGTGCCAAGTTCCAGTTTTGATGACTTAGATATTCTTTCGTTACATTCGACCATAGCCTTTGTTTGTCCAAAAGAATATGGCGCCGGGATTTGATGAAGCTTCTCTGTATGGACCAAGTGTAGATACGAGGTGTGGTGCTTGTATGTGTTTTTACATTTGACATTAACTTGCCAGTCCTCTGGTAAGGGAAGGAGGGCTGTGATTTGTCACATTTTCCTTTTCTCTCTCTGTAACTTATCCTGTAACTTAACAAGCAGGCAAGAAAAAAAGAGATGAACATTTCCAGTTTTTCCATGACACAGCCTCTCTTCTCTCGGAGTGGTTGGATGATTTTGGCTGTCAATGAGGAAGACCATAAGTTACGCAGATCCATTCTTCGACGGTATCCCTCCGAGGGACCGGCTATCTTCAGATGCATCGTTCGTACCCAAGTCCATAGTCCTCGCAATCGACATTGTTGTGTTCGATCATCTGCATTTTTCCCCAAGCATAGACTGTCTGCTTGTGACAATGTCACTATATGTCATCGAGAACGAATTTGATCTCTTAACTCGAGGGCTTCTACTGGCGAGGTCACCTCATCATGAGATTAGATCTCTCCAATGAAATGAAAAAATTTACATATATAATCTCAAGGGTTAATATCGCGAAAAATCTCAAACTGGTATACATGTGACATGTTTACACCAAACTCATTTTTTGATCACGAAAAACCTCAAATTGATACACCTGTGATAAATTTACCCTCAGTTTATTTCCGTTAAATTACTTTGTTAAATGACATGCGGCAATTGATGTATGTACCAATTTTATGTTTTACCCTCCGTTTGTCACATGTGTACCGGTTGATGATTTTTTTGTAACGGAAATCAACGGAGGGTAAATTTGTCACAAATATACAAGTTTAGGGTTTTTGTGGTCAAAACATTAGTTTGGGATAAAATTGTCACAGGTGTATCAATTTGGAATTTTTGGTGGTCAAAACATTGATTCGGGGTAAAATTGTCACAGGTGTACCAGTTTGGAGTTTTTCGCGATATTAACCCTAATCTCAATCTCCATTTCTTCGCTTCGTAACTAAGTTACTCTTGTACAGTAAACAACTTCACGTGCGGTAAATAAACTCGTGCGTGGTAAAAGATCTCATTTACGGCGAGCGAAACTCATGAGTTGCAATAGTTTTGGATCAAACACCACGCAACAAGAGGCCAAACTACATAAACGTACTTAAACTTACGAAGAGTAACTTGGTTTTACCAAGAATAACTTGCATGTGTCAAGAACAACTTGCATTTACGGTAGATGGTGGAAACCTTATTTGTTCTCGGTAAATGCGACTTCTTCTTGATGAATAGCAGCGGTTCTTTGCAAATACGAGTTGTTTGCGGTGAAAATAACTTATTCTTAATAAATGTAAAATTCTATTTTATCGTTCCTGACAACATGTAAAATAGCTTTACTGATGCTGATTCTACTTTATGTTATACAACATTCGAAGCTACATTTACTTGGAATAAACAAAAAAGGTTTACCATTTATTTAAAGGTTTACAATTTATTTGCACACTTTATCTTTGATATTTTAAATAAGAAAATTAACCTTGACAAAATAAGGTTTATCACCAATAAATAAAGTTTACCACAAGTAGGCTAGTTTTTCTTTTTTTTTTAGTAAAGGATCTGAGTCCGAGAAACACAAATAGGCTACTTTTTACTAATGATGTATGTATTATACCACAAAATACATGATGTTATCAATAATAAATAGGGAAAAATGATACAAATGATCCCTGAATTTTGACCAAATGTTCAATGTGATCCATGAACTTTTAATTGGAAAAATGCCAAAGAAGTCCTAAACCTTTTGCATTGGTGCCAATTTAGTCCTAAACCTTTTTTTTGTGTCAATTCAATCATAAATTTTTTGCATTTGTGTCAATTCAGTCCTAAACCTTTTTTATGGTGCCAATGCAGTCATAAAATTTTTATATTGGTGCCAATTCAGTCTTAAATCTTTTATTTTTGTGCCAATTCAGTCATTCCGGTCAATTTTGGTCAGATTTTGCTGACGTGAACGCCGGCCGACCGGTGGCCGGTCACCGGCGCTGACGTGGAAAACTTTAATAATATTTTAATATTTTATTGATTTTTTTGATTTTTTTCTTTTCTTTTTTCCCCCCTCCTCTCCCTTCTTCCTCCAGCCGGTCGCCGGACCGGCGATTGGCCAGAGGCAAGAGGTCGGTGAGGTCAACCTTGCCGGCAATTGGCGAGGGCGGCCTCGCGTTGGGCGAGGCTCGCCTTCGCTGTTGCTGGTGAGGGCGAGCCTCGCCTGCGCCGGCCTCTGGCCTGTGGCTGGTCCGGCGACTAGCTGGAGGAAGGAGGGGAGGGGGAAAAGAAAAAAGAAAAAATTAATTTAAAATATTAAAATATTATCAAAGTTGTCCACGTCATACGCGTGATGGCCAATGGCTCGGCCAAATGTCATGTCAAAAAATCCGACCAAAATTGATCGGAATGACTGAATTGGCACAAAAACAAAAGGTTTAGGACTGAATTGGCACCAATGCAAAATGTTTTGGACTAAATTGGCACCAATTCAAAAGGTTTAAGACTTTTTTGGCACTTTTCCCAACTTTTAAACTATCTAATGTTGTTCATGAACTTTAGCCCAATGTGCAACAAGATTCTTGAAACTTTTGGTACATGTTCAATTTAGTCCCTAAACTATATAAAAATGTTCAAATAGTTTAGGGACTACATAAAAATTCAAGTACCATATTAAACAAATTAAAAATTGATAGACCATATTATACATTAAGCCAAAATTTAGGGATACATTGAACACAATTGGTGTCGTTATCCCTAATAAATAAGCATATTCTACTACTGTACAAGAGATGACCTCATCATAGAAGCCTCCTCGTACTCATACTCATCTAAACCTTGTCCATAATCTCTATCTTTTCGTTTATCATGTGCAGTTGAGTTTTATAAGGGTGCGAATGATAACCATTTTATTTTCCTGTTTTTCTATTTTTTTATTCTCAAGAACAGGTTTGGAACATAAATTCGTTTAGTAAAATAATTTCATTTTTTTGTTTCTGGGATAAATTTTGCCCCAAAAATAAATTTGGAACAGAAATAAGAAATTAAAATTTTTTGCTTTTCTATTTCTGGAACAGAAACAGAAATAAAAACCCTCTTGTATTGCTCGCCCTTGCCGTTCATCGCCGTCGCCTTTCGCTTGCCGTCTGTCGCCGCCTGCCGCTAGCCGGCCGTCCGCTGCAGCCCACCGCCCCTCATTGTCGCTCGACGGCTACCCACCGCCGCTCGTTGCTCGCTGGCCATCCGTTGTTGCCCGTCGCCATCGCCGCTCGCCGGCCGTCCGCCGCCATCGCCTTTCGCCGGCCGTCCGCCGCTTCCACCGGCCGCTCGCCACTGCCATCGGCCACTCACCGACCGTCTGCTGCCGCTCACCCGTTGCTCGCCGGCCATCTGCCATCGCCCATCGCCACCACTGCTCGCCAGCCATCCGCCGTTGCTAGTCGCCACCACCACTCGCCGCCCGTTCGCCCCCGCCACTCGCCGGCCGACGGAAATAGAAATTTTGCGTCGTTATCAAACGAATTTCTATTCCGGGAACAGAAATTTTGCGTCGTTATCAAACGTCACTTTTTGCTCAAAAACTCATCCAGGATAGAGAAATAAATTTTTTAATTTCTAGCCAAATATAAGGCCGGAAAAGAGAAATGTTGTCATTCGCACTCTTACGAGCTCGTTGCATATTGAGCTAAGGTTACAGCTAGAGCTCATAAAAATACTTACTTGCCTAGCAGTTCGTCTCAACCAGCATGGCTTGATGAATTGACTGATTCTGTAGTGCTGTCCTTCCAGCGTTCACGGGCTTCATTCGTGGCGGAGCCCAATTCATGGAACACCCTCTCGAAACTTGAGCTTTGCGGCGAATCAGACTGCTTGAATGTTTTCTAGTGAACTCCCAGTGCAATGATGTGGCAAAGTTAGTTTCTTGAAGCTTCAGGGGAAGTGGATGGACTTGAGCAGTAGTCTCGTGGGGGCTCTGCGCCATTGTCGGCGCTTTCGAGCTCTCAAACCTGGAAGATCAGTTCACGCTCAGGTGATCAAGCTTGGGCTCTCGGATGATGTGTATTTCGCTAACAATCTGATCTCCATGTACGTGGGTTCGAGTGAACTGGGCGATGCATATAAGCTGTTTGATGGTATGCCCTACAAGAATCTGGTCACTTGGGGTACTATGGTTTCCGCCTATGTTAATGTGGGAGAGCCTGTGGTTGCTCTCAGATTGTACCACCGAATGTTGGAGTCCGGAGCAGAGACGCCCAACGAGTTCGTGTACTCTGCGGTTCTGAAAGCTTGCGGTCTCTTGGGTGATCTTGATTTGGGTAGAAGGCTTCATAGCAGGATTTCCGCAGCTAAAATGGAGTCTGACACTGTTTTGATGAACTCCCTTATCAACATGTATGTCAGGTGTGGGAGTGTGAGTGATGCCAGGAGCGTTTTTGGAGAAATATCGCCGAAGACATCGGTTTCGTGGAATACTATGATCTTCGGGTACTGTGAGGAAGGTTTAATGGATGAGGCGTTGAGTTTGTTTCATCAGATGCCAGGCCGGAATGTTGTCTCTTGGAACAGCATTGTTGCTGGTTTTGCAGATCAGGGAAGCCCGCGGGCACTGGATTATGTCCATATGATGCACCACCAAGGTTTAGAGCTTGATGGTTTCACATTCTCCTGTGCTCTCAAAACCTGCGGTTCTCTTGGTTTGCTAGCTTTTGGGCAACAAGCTCATGGTTATGTTGTTAAGTCGGGCCTGGAATCTAGTTGTTACTCTGCATCGGCGCTGGTTGATATGTATTCTCAATGTGATGAACTAGGTGAGGCACTCAGAGTGCTTGACGAATGCACGAATTTCAGATTTTCAGATCATGAAACTTTGGCTCTTTATAATTCCATACTTTCTGGATATGTTGCCTGTGGACACAACAGGGCTGCTCTCAAACTGCTCTCGGAAATTTACTGGTCAGGGGTGCGCATGAATTCTTACACCTTTAGCAGTGGCTTGAAGGCCTGCTTTAACTTGCTTGACTTGGGACTTACAATTCAATTACATGCTTTAGTTGTTACCAGTGGATATGAATTGGACTATATTGTTGGAAGCATTCTTGTAGATTTATATGCAAAGCATGGGAATATTCAGATTGCATTGAGATTGTTTGACCTACTTCCACAGAGAGATATTTTGGCATGGTCTGGCTTGATTGTGGGGTGTGCAAAGCTGGGGCACGACTTGTTTGCTCTCTCCATTTTTAGGGATATGATGGCTTCAGGTGTGTATGTGGATGAGTTTGTAATTTCATGTATTATAAAAATCTGTTCAAGCTTAGCATCTATCAGAAATGGCAAACAGGTGCATACTTTGAGTGTCAAGAGTGGGTATGAACTAGAGGAGGTTACTGTTACGTCTCTAATCGATATGTATTCAAAATGTGGTGACATTGAGGATGGCTTAAAACTATTTGGCAGCACTTTAATAAAGGGCACTGTTTGTTGGACGGCTATTATTACGGGTTGTGCACAAAATGGACGAGCAGTGGAGGCAATTGGGTTGTTCTATGAGATGTTACAAACAGGGCAAAAGCCCAATGAAGTTACCTTCTTGGGTGTTCTTGCAGCCTGTAGACATGCTGGGCTGATTGAAGAGGCAAAAATAGTATTCAGTTCCATGGGCAGTGAACATGGACTAATACCTCATTGCGAGCATTACTACTGCATGGTTGATCTTCTTGGTCAATTCGGGCATTTTGAAGAGGCAGAAAAATTAATTTCCAGTATGCCATTTAAACCTGATAAAACCATATGGTGCTCGTTGCTGGAGGCTTGTGCAAGTCATGGTAAAACTGAACTAGTTGATGGCATTGCAGAGAACCTCCTTGCAATCTCTCCGGAAGACCCCTCAATATATGTGATGCTCTCAAACGTCTATGCAACACTGGGTCTGTGGGCAAACCTGACCAAAGTGAGAAAATCTGCTAAGAAACTGGGGACTAAAGAAGCTGGAAAAAGCTGGGTGGAGATTTCAACCTAGAAGTCTTGATTTCCAGCATGCGTAACGGAGTTTTGATTTTATGCAAAAATGACTTTCAGGGTTCGAAAGCATAAGATAGCTCTTTCTGCAGTCGATCACATGGAAGGAAGATGTGGATGCTTCCTATAGTACCAGAAAAGCTGTTAGAAACTCTAGATATGCCTGTTCACATTATCTTAAAATGTTTCTACGTCTTTCACTTTAGAGGTACACAAGCTTTCCTCTTCTTTCTAATTGAGATTTATGAGTGTCACCCTCTGTACTTAATTCAATCTAAGATGCTTATAGGGAAGTGAAGAAGACATGTCATATTGGTCTATGCCTCTATAGGCTCACAAATCTTCTATTCGCCACATTGAGTTCTTGAGGAGTCGAGAACTTGATATCTGAGAAGCATAATCTGGCAGGTGCTGCTTTGCAGCTACATTATGCACCAAATTCAGAGGTAAATTGAAATTCCTAATTTTTCCTTTTTGGTGTCCTAAAACAGAGTCAATGTGTTCTTGCTACAGTGTCTCCTTTTTGTTTGAAGGTTTGTTTGCAAATGAAGAAACCTGACTTGGGAATCAGCAACAGTGCTCTAAAGATTGTGAATTGAATCCTTCTGAATTTTTGCGTGTAGCCTTGCAGTTTGTATATTCCAAACTGGAAGGTGGAAGCAATGTTGAAAAGGAAGGGGAAAAATTGCAAGGTTATTTCTCTTCAACAGTCCATGTGCACATATACAAAGATATGTTTACTGTTATATAGTATCAGTGCACATATACCTGTTATTACACGCATGCAATAAGACCATTCAAATTAATCATTAGAAGAAAGACAACTTTGGACTAGAGAGCAAATCTAGATTGATTTTGCAAGTCCTTAGGAAGATAGTGAATTAGAAAAGGACTTGCAATCAGTTCCAATTTGGGTTGTCATTACTTGTTGGTTCTCACTCTAAAAAATTGTGTCCTTCATTTATTTACATTATATATTTTAAGTTTCAGATGAAGCAGAAATGAAGTATGTGTTTCTGTGTGCATCAGCATCCGTGTGGTTTTGATTTAAATTCTGGCGCCACGTTTTTAACCTTTTTTCATGAGGCATGGGTATCTAATTGGCAAATTACGTGATTTCTTCAAGATTGAAACTTCCTTGAACTTGAACATTACCCTTTCTTATGTCCAGAAAGTCAGAGATTGGAAGGCACTGAATGCCTGGTTCAGGCTCAGTTCCACTGTGGCTCATATTCAGTTAGGCTCGAGGTCGTATGTCAGCTGATGGATATAGTTCTTAGACAACACTCGCGTTTAGACTGACATGATTCTATCATAAATCGTTCCTGAAACACTAGTACTGGCATTCGCCAGATCAGTCTTTGGTGGAGGAATTTCTGTCTCGCAGAAGCTTGTGGCCTGAGTGCCTTTTTCCTTCGTCGCTGTCAATGGAAATCGGGCTGGTTTTATCCAACCCTGTCATAAGCATATTCTAGAGCCAATCTCTCTTCCTTCAAAGGGAAATGTGAATATGCACCAACCAACCCCAGATGATGCCGGAGCAAAGCAAAGCCTCCCTTTTTGGGGTGGTTCTATTGTGGTTTATCCCCTTGTCTGTGGCGCTGTGAATGACAGCAAGGCCTTCAAATCCGTCAATAGTTGCGACTCCAAAGAAGCATATGTTTAGATAGGACGAGATAGTCCCTGCAAACTTTCAACCTAAGGTGTTGGTATCCAGGTGCCTGACTTGTTGACATCACATTAATAAGTCTTGGTGGCCGTTTTCACACGTCTACTTCTGTACGTGGCAGGAAAAGAAAGCCTGGTGAAATTTGATTATGCCTTGGAAGTAGGATAGTTTTTGAATGGCTCACCTCCAGCATGCTTGATTTGGGACTGATTATGGAATCACGGGGCTGACCTAAAACCATGCTTGATTCGTGTGAATATAGATTCATAGCATGACAGAGAGAAACTAAAGTCATTCGAGACTAAATTTTTCACTCAGATATGACATCACCGATTCTGGTTAGCTGAATCTCCCAGACACAACGCAAAAGAATCCATTTTTGGGCATTCGCTCTGTTATTCCAGTGCCAGTCATGAGTAATCTCTCTGCTTTCTCCTAATATGTAGTGCAAATCAGACGATCAGAGGGCTTCAGCACTTAACAGTACCAGTTCTTCATGGAGTACGGTGCCGCTAATTGATGCTTGCTCCAAGCTATAGTTACATCCTTTCTCAGTACTTTTTTTTTATCTTTTTTCATCTTCACTAGGATTATCAGAGGTAGTATAAAAGACAAACTGTTCAGGTACATTTAAGAAATGTACAAAGTTCACATGTTCTACCTATAGTGTAATGGTCTAGTCTACCACATGACTAGGACTTCTCGATCTCAATGAAAGTCAATGAGTAGTGTGTTCATCTCATCTTCTGTTTGCTTTATTATGGATCACCTTACTCATTCCCCATCGATTGGCAGAACATGAACGGTCCCCCGTCGTCTTTCTTCAATTATAGCGATGGTCCCACGATTGTTCCTGCTATGAGACAAATAAGCCCGACCTCACAACTTTTGGATGAAGCACAGGAACATGGGGTCTGATCATTTGCTTTCTGTAAGGACTCTTATCGTGCTTTTGGTAGTTAGCTCTGTGGAAGTCTCTTTTATCATGCCAATGTTCTGTTGCTTTCATTCTTCAATCATTTCACCAATCCCACCTCTCCTTCCTTATTGTGGCCGAGCGTGAGCAAATGTGAGCTTCTTTTTTCAGTTTTCTCAAGCAAGGCAATCTTTTTTGCCTCCTTTTCGTTTCCTCTTTCTTTCCTAAGCTGGAAACAATAATTTGGTACCAAAATTCAGACAAATGCTCCTAGTGGCCCCTCCACTCCACTTTTGGCGCCAAAGTTTACTCTTGATGAGAGAGACAGAGAGATTTGACTTGCTTATTCTTTATGTGGATATTTTGAATCCATTGATTAACTCGGCTTTAGTCCGCACTTTCCGCGGTAATAGTGCATCTGATCTGTGCGGTACAGGATTCTCCGAGAGGGATTAAAAAATATGCTCGAGTAATGCATTGTGGTATCGACTCTCGAGGTCTTATAGTATACATACAATTTTAGAAATTGTGGAGTCAATTGATGTAAAAGTCGTACACCGATATGGGTATATGGCTTTCTTTAATCTGAAATAATCAGTAGGTGTATAAGGTACTAACTATACACAATATCTCTATATGAGTGCCAGGATTTTGGTTTTCCAAGCCGAAATGTGCACTAATTTCTCTATTAGAGCGCTCATTAATTGAGCCCATCCTCGCTTGCTTAAAAATCTTGTCGAAGTTCAAGAAAGTGAACATCATGAGATAATGAGTACAAAATAAGAGTCAAGAAGATGTCGAAACTGCACATCACAAAGCAAAGAAGGCCATGCGCGACTGTCTATGCAGGAAGAAAGAGACAACTATCATGGAACAAAAACAGGAGCAGAAGCTGGTCTGGCCCAGCCTAAAGTTAGATTGAATTTGTAGTTTCTTCTCAGCACCATTGACAAGTTTGAAGTTTCCTTCACCTTGTGTGGGCGAATTGCCCGCATATCAAGTTTGGGCTCATCTGTTAGTCTTAATGTAAAATAAGCAGGAACCGATTATCCCTCTAAACCAACGTGAAAAAGAATGTTGTTTGGAACTTGAGACGCAAAATTTGATCAAGAATAGGACTAGATAAGAGACTTGATGCTCAAATTAGACTTTCTGAGGTGAATAAGAAAAACTCTCCAATACTTTTCCGTCTTTGTCTGGAGACTCTATTGACCCTGGCTATCATTGGCACTTCATTCCATCTTTGAACCTCCGTTATCAAGTGCCTCGTCATTTGGCACCATTGTGTTTCTCATGGTTGCCCTGTTTGGCCTAAGTGAAGCTGCACTTCTTTAATTGTTTTTGGACAAGTGTACTCCGTGAGGATCGAATTGATTGATTTTTATCGGATAAGCATGTTTGATGCTTCCAGAGATCTATCAAATTTAATCTTTGTGATGCAACTAGCCTATCAAAATTAAATCTCTCAGAAAACAAGCCCCCAAGAGCAACACAGAAAGAATTTCCCCGAGCAGTTTACGCATTGGAAAGGAGCAATTAATCTTTCCTCAACATGATATTGCAGATAGAAAAACTGAAAAAGAAATCAGAAAAACAAATGAAGAAAAGGAAGAGAAAAACTGGAAAAGAAAGCAAGAAGAAACTATTAAAACCCCCTATAGATTACGACAAAGCAAGGCAAAATGGCTCTAGGATTGAACACATACAACTCATCCAAATTGGAGTACAACCCGCAAGCCCCAGCCGCAGAGTCATACTCCTCCATGCTTCCCTCCATGTTCTTCTTCACCCTCCCTGCAATCACCCTGCACACCAGCATTGCTCTCTTCTCATCATCCTCTGTTTTCATCACCAAACTCGCGTTGTCGTGGGCTCTTCCACTAGTTGCTGTGGTCAAGACCCCCTTTTCGCCGACCTTGAACCCATTCTTGATTATGTTGCACACGTTGCACCGCGGTATCAAGTTGCATAGATTGGAGGAGCCGTTGAGGCCTAGCGAGCAAGAGAACATGGTGCAGTGGAACCGGAGGAGCTCGTTCCCGTCAGCTATGCAACGGGGGTTCTTCTTGGTGGCTTTGGCCTTGATGGAGTCTCTGTACTCTTCAAACTTGGAGATGGTCTTTTGGGTGTTGTGGACTTTGAGGATCCTGTCTATCTTGCAAATGGGTGATTGTTTCTTTAACCAGCTGGATTGGAATATGATCTCCACGATGTTCTTGCTCGTGTCCTCTGGACCCAGTTCGGACACTACATAATAAGGAAAACAAAAGGATTAAAATGAATTGGTTGAGTAAGTTGATGAGATAAGCCATAACTAGAACAGAGATAGGTGACTGCCTAAACTGAAAGCAAGTTATAAGGACCAGTTCTGGCTTTTGGGGAAAGTGCAGACAGACACAGTTTCTGCATTTCCGGAAAATTTGATTAGATCATAAATCTCATTGTGGAGTAAAGTCTAATCTTTTATAGCGACAAGAAACTACTATGATTCGCTCTCTACAAGCTTGTTACTGTTATATATCTTAAACTTCGATATCACTGTGATCCTTGCACATTGTGAGGAAGACTCTTCACACTGCATATTTTAAGATGCTAAAAATGAAGGACAGATGAAAAAATAGTCCATTGAGACTCTCGCCATTGCCGTATCTTTTAAATTAGTAGGAACTGCGCCCTCGAATGTCACTCGCTCGAATTCAATGATGGGATGGCTACTTTCCGAAGCAATAATGAGAAACAAATTGAACAGGACTATACTTCGGGGACTCGTGTGTAGGCTTACCTGCATGTCTAACAGCAAGATGAAGCTCCAGATCGTCCGGTTTCATGAAGATTTCCCCACACTCGGGGCAAGAACAAATGGTGGATCTCAGAGAAGGGTCTCTGGTGAAACCGAGAACCGGATCAACCACCATTCGACACTCATAGCAGCCAGAGAATCTCCTGAATGGCATTCCCCTAAAAGACCCACCATAGGAGGAACTATTGGGAGACACCGAGAGCGAGGACGAAGTAGCAGAGGGCACAACCCCATTGACTTCCTGCAGAGGGACTTTCATGGATCTGCTCGAACTCGAGCTATGGTTAGTGTTATTACTAGGACCGCTAAACGAACCCATTGAAGACCTTCTTTTGAGGGCTTCAGGAGCGATCACTTCTGATGGTTTCTGCATGACCTTTGTGTTGCTGCAAAGTGAACCTGAGCACTTCATTTTCTTGCACTTTCTGGTGCTTTCTTCTGCAACTGCTGCTTGTTCTTGTTGCTGCTTCTGCTTCTGGTTTTGCTGCTTCTGCTGTTTATTATCCGGGTTAAGCGGTTGCTGTTCTGGTGTTTGGAGATGCTTCAAGCTCAAGAAACTCTTTACTACAGTCCATGAGGATGATTTCTCTAGCTTCTGGAGATCTTTGCTCTCTGTCTTGTGTGTTTCTTGGGGTTTTCTTGAGATTCTAGGCTTGGCCATTGGAGCAGAAACAAATGTGGTGCTATAGCTTGAGGTACAGAAAAGAAGAAAAAAAGTGGATTGTTTTGGCTGAGCTTGAGGATTTGTTTCACATGGAACTAGGTTTCAGATTGGTTTCTAGAGATATTGAGTGAAGCAAAGAAAGTGAAGAGAGTACCAAGAGAAGCTGCTTTTTTTGTAGAGGTGACAAAAATAATTGGGCCTCATGGGGTCCTACATAAACTTAGGAGTTTGGAATTATAAATTTTATATTGCAAAACCCTAAATAGACCCCCAAAAAAAAAAAACGTTGAACACTAACTACTAGGATGTATATGAGCAATTTATTAGGGTTGGATCTTTTAAGGCCCTTTAAGCGTTTCATTGGGTACATAGAAGTCTGTTTTTCATATCCACTCTATCACAAAGGGAAATGATTTAGAATGTAGATGTAAGAAACTAAGGAAAGAAGAAGAGAAAAGTGAAATTCATCATCGGTCTGTTTTGGGTTTAGGCTTTTGCTTCACGTCCACGAGCAAATATAGCAGCAGAGTCGTGGACCTTTCGTTTTCGTAAGACTATTTGTGATTATAAGAGCGTATTTACTACAGTGAAGTGAATTCTTCCTCATTTTGACTGCATAATCATTGAAACATGCGTACATATCCATTACAAAGGCTCGTTCAAATTTTCGTTCAAACACCGAATTTCAAAAAAGCGTACGCTTATTATGTTCTACAAGACTTATTTTATAAATGATTCTCATGCGGCTTTGCATCCCTGAGGACTGAGACTAAGAGAAACCTACACTGACTTAGCATAATCAATTTAAACCCCTTTTGGCGCGCAAAATTTCTTCACCTAACGCGATATTCCTCGTTATCTATAGATATAACCAGAAAAGATAAGAGCAAAGGCAAGCTAACAGTCTTGCTACCAATGCTTCAACATTTATGTATCTTGCCATGCTAGCAATGCCAAATGGTCATGGAAATTTTCCATACATGATCGTACATTGTTTGCTGGTCCCAACATTTCGAATTAACACGGTGTGGTGAACAGTGTACGACCCCATCATAAATTTTTGTATACTTTCTCAAATACCTTGGATGTCTAATACTCTCACACCACTTGTCTGAACTGAAACTGCATTTTTTTTTTGTAATAAACATCAGAGTCCGACTGAATTAAACAATCTCTCTGCTCTGCATTCCCGGGGCCCAAAAGAGAGAAAAAAAGAAGTAATGAAAGAACAGAGATGGGTCAAGTTCTTTATGAAAACGACCCGTAACCAAAGCTAGGGTTTCATTGGGTTAAGTGTGGGAAATTAACAGGAAGATGCTCCCTGATTATTCCCTCTACATGTAAAAGGCTGCCCGAGTTATTCCTTTTGCCTCCGGCTCTGAAACAGTAAGCTTTATTCACTTTTAACTAGAAAGCAAAGTCATCCCCCATCACCCCTTGTCTTTAACATGAAGCCATTGTCCTGACAGTTAAGCATTTCGAAACCTTAAACTCACTGTGCAACGTCTCTTAAAAATCCCATCGTCTGTAAAAAAGGTTTAATCATATGAGCCTATCCGTTAACTATGTTTTTGTCGTTCCAGAACACTATGACACTGATTTTTATGATGAAAAGCAATAGTATTTCATTTATTGTTCATAAAAGGATTTCAAGTGGGCATGACGTGACTAATCAACAACTTGAAAATTATTCAGAGACAGAAGAATAATGAATGATGCTGTGTTATTAAGGATGCATATGTGGCAAAAAAAAGATCAAATTTTTTGTCAGGCCACATTTTTTTTCATTTCCAACAAAGAATGGTGGTAAACATGGTTAGTTTATTTGAGCACATGGCTTAATGATTGAGTCTTCCTGTCGTGCTTATGCCCGAGACTCGTAGTCGTAGCATGCTTCCTCGGCTTGTTCATGCTCTTCCTTTTCCATGAATCATTTCCTCGGAAATTGAGAACACTGAGCATGCTTGCTTCTCTATTCATACTTTGTAATGGAGTATGCAAGAGCTATCCAGTTCCTTTATAGTTCATTTACATATACTTGTTTTGGACCTTCTTTTTCATTTTGATATCTGACATTCTCACCTGCAATAATTTTAAAAACATCTCTCTTATTCTTTAGATTTTGTGTATAGATTGATAAATCTTTCGTCGATTTTTTTTTCCTATCTTGGCACGCTTGTGACACCACGCATGCATTGTTGCTAGTTTATAATTTAATAAGCACAAACATGTTGATAAGTTTACTGGAAATAAGATTGGCTATCCATATGGTGTGAATACATAAATTTGTACTTCGAAGTTTCTTTGGATACAAAATTGAAAAAGTCACTGAAAGAATAAAAGTGTCGTCATGTACTCCTTAAAATAAGATTAAGAATATGCACGTTGTTTGAGGAAATTAAATCATAAATACCGTTTCTATGTTTGAGAGGATCGTGGTGCACATTATGATTGTAATAGCAATTACGAAATGAAGCCCAACGGTTAGATGATTTACTAGGATTTTCTTAAGTATAAACGTGTAAGAAAATAAAGTTTTAATTCAAGATAGAATGTTGTCTATCACAAACTGTACATATTTAAACAAAATCATTACATAAAAGTTAAAGAAAAGTTTAAGAGTTTTTCATCTGATGTTGACAATTGAATGTGTCATTCGAGAAAAAAATGTGAAATTGGCCCACTTCACAACGGACGAAGGGTCAAAATATATATATCGAAATAAGTAAAGATATATTTGTAATAAATAGTATACATTATAAAAATCAATCAAGATTAATGAATATACTCAAATTCTAAATTAAAAAAGAGCTCCAGAAGAAATAAAAATCAAATTGGATATATACTTATTTTGAAGAAATCAAAATGCAAAGAAATGGTATACATTATAAAAATGAATGGGGTCATGTTACGGATTAATTATACTTTAATTGAATGATTCGATTTTCAAGGCATTAATTATGTATAACATAAGGATAATTAATGCATTGAAAACTGAAAAAAAAAATTCTTAAGTGATTGTTTAATAAGTGACTCTGGAGCACTCACTAACGAAATCCAGATGAATGTTGGAAAGAAACTAATGAAGAATCAGAATTGAAATGATAAAAACTCTATATATTTCAAAACTCTTTACTTAAATGTTCTAGATAAAAGTAAATTACATAATCAACAATAAAATTATCATCACAAAACTCAACTTACGCGTTGAATTGAATTAATTGCTAATTAAATCAGTAAGGCACAAAACTCGGTGTTTGAATCAATGTTCACAATTAAAGGAAAATAATTATCCTCAAGTTTTTTTTTAGAGTTATTATATTTCTGTTCACTAATAATTCGTCTTCTAAGTTGTCTTCTCGTGTATTTGCACGGGGATAAGCTAGTTCAAATTCTACATTAAAGTAACTTGCAATACATAAGAAAAAAACAACTTAAATTTGATGAATCACGGAATAAATATGTTAAAATGATCATTGATATTATCAACATTTCAAGACATGATATTCCATTTGCTTAGAAAATATGAAACGATGTGTACTTCAAGATAATCAAAATTATAAGCATATTAAATCAAAAAAATAATATATTTCAAGCGTCTTCACGGGAAATGGCTCTGGATATTCTAAGATTAAAGCTATCCTTTTTAGTATTTGTCTATTCAGTTAGCCATGAAGTCTGAAAACTAGATGAGACACTTCGGAATGTGACATTACGATTATAAGTTTGTTAATGAGTGCCTCACGAACAAACATTTTCAAAATTTAATGAGATGCGATGAGACTGAATCGACCTAAAATAAAAAGTCCTCAACACATTCTTTTCCTGAATTATTTTATTAGACGGTACAAAAACATATTACTGAACGTAATTACGCGACATGTACGTAAGAGCCGAAGTAGGAAGGCTTTATTTTATGTACGTAACGATGGTTTCACTGTGTTAGTTTGGTTTGCTAGGGGGTTAGAGTGAGTTGCAAGGGGAAAAATGGCACACAGTTCAGGGCACTCTTACATTATTAAAAGATGTAATGTCTTTAGATGTTGCAAGTGATTCTGGGCAACTTGAATATCGAGGAAAAGCTCTTCAAGTATCGATTCTTTTTAGGGAAAATGACATAAATAGTCCCTAAACTTTGGCTCAATGTACAATTTGATCTCTAAACTTTTAATTTATTCAATCTGATCCCTGAACATTCGGTATATGTTCAATTTAATCCCTGAACTATATGAAAATATTATACGCAGTCCTTCCATTAATTCAAGTTTAGGGACTATATTGAACATTTTCATATAATTCAATGATTACAATGAACACGTACCGAAAGTCCAAGGATCACATTGAACAAATTAAAAGTTTAGGGACCAAATTGAACATTGGACTAAAGTTCAGAGACTACATTAAACAAATTAAAAGTTTAAGGACCAAATTGCACATTGGGCCAAAGTTCAGATACTGTTTGTATTATTATCCCTTCTTTTTATGTTCGACGTGCACATGCCATGCAAAAGATTCTAAAAAAGATCATTTTTATACTTGAGCCATGAATTTGGTTGCCCATAATGTTGGTATGTCACAAATGGCTTTGCATTTCCGTCTGTCTTAAGCTTCCTAGGAGACAGAAATGATGAATCTTAGGGTGCGAATGACAACCATTCTATTCTTGAAATAGATTTTTTGTCTTTATTCTCTTGACAAGTGTTTGAACAAAGATAAGCGTTTGATAACGATACAAAATTTCCATTTTTGGAATAGAAATTCATTTCATAGGCCTTCTTACATTTTTCATTCATCGACAGACAGCAACCGGCGAGGGTGGCAATGGTCGGCGGGAGGCAGGTGAGAAGAGTTTTTATTTCTCCTTTTATTCCGAAAACAGAGAAGTATAAATTGTTTACTTTTCATTTCTATCCAAAACGTATTTCTAAGCTAAAAGTTTATTTTAGAAATAACAAAATGAAATTGCCTTACCAAAATTCCAAACTTGGTCCTGGGAACAAAAAAAAATAGATCTGACAAGAAATAAAATGGTTATAATGCGTACCCTTACTGACTTGTACAATACTATTGATTGTCTAAAAAAAGTCATAAATCTATTGTAATTGTGCCAATTCAATCATAAACCTTTTGCATTTGTGTTAATTCTGTCTATCCGCCCAAAATCTCTAACATAAACGCCACTTGTCCTATGTGGCGCGACGACATTGACGTTGATATTTTAAAATAATATTTTAATATTTTTTCGTATTTTTTATTTCTCTTTTATTCTTTTTCCTTTCCATTTTTCCCTTCTCTTTCTTCTTTTTCTTCCCTTTTTCCTCTGGAGGCGAGGGACCGGCGAGCTCAACCTATCCTTTTCTATAAAGCAACTCATCCTTCTCTATAAACTCCAATTTGACATGCCCAAATCTCCACATCTACAAACATCCCCTTTTCCATCGAAACTTCTTCACCCTTTCTGGCGGACCAAATGCGCCTAGCCGGCCTCCTCCGTCATGGTTTATGCGTACTCACATTTTTAGACATATTAATGCGCGAGTTTTCAAATGGTCGGTAGAGATAGATCATATCTTCAAAGCACGATATGTGCTTGTGTCCTAGCAGATTGACTAAATCGCGTTAGCGTTTCCGAATAATCTGCATAAGCGCAGTTCCGATCCTGCGACGTGGATCATGGGCCGTCGCGCGAGAGGCCCATAACGAATGCTGCGGCCCACCAGACAAGATAGACTTGGCCCATTTCGAATCACCCGCGCCATTAACGGATCAAATGGGAGGCCCAAATCTTTTGCTTAGCCACCTGAAGCCAATGGGGCAAAAGGAAAAATCCTCCATTAATGGAGCGCCAAAATGGCCTCGATTCAAAAATCGCCTCGGCTCGCTCGCTGGGACTCGCTGACTCGCGCTGAACTCGCTTCGTCTTCCCCCCCCGCCGGGCATGGAGCTCCGGATCGATCCCTGATGCCCGCTTGAGCCAGGCTCGAGTCCCGCCGGCCGCTCGACCCACGGTTGTTTCCCCCCGCTTTTGCCGGTCGCTTCCGTTTCAGGGTGGGGTGGGTGGGGGAAAGCAATGCCGCTGAGCCTCCGCCATGGACGGGGAGGCTAACCTTCCGGTCCGGCCGAGCGACCCGATCCGGAGCACCGGCCCGACGTCCTCGTCCTCGTCGTCGGCGTGCCTGCCCGGTTCTTCCCCGCCGGGCTTGCTCCGGCATGTGCAGGCCGCCTTCAAGCGCCACCGCCCGCTCGGTAACTGTTCTCCTCTCTCGTGTTCCCTTCTGAATGCCCCCGTCTCTTCGACGCGATCGCTTTCGGATGGGTCGAGTTTGAGTCGATTAGGGTTTCGTGCTTGGCGAGTTTGGTGTTGTCATTGATGGGAGTGGAGGAAGTTAGGTCTTTTTGGTGGAGTTCCTGAACTGGCGAGTGTTGTGCAGTCAATTTCTAATGTTAGGCTAAGAGCTCGAGATAAGTTGATATTTCTCTTGGGGCTTCTTGGTCGAAAATCAAGTGCTGTGAAGTTTAGAGTTTAGCATGTTGTCAGATGTATTGGTTTATGTTGAATCTTCCTTACTTTTTGGGTGTATTGAGCCTTAGATTGATCCTCCAATTCTGATGATCCTTCCTTCCCAGTCACTAATCTGCAGGGCATTGCATCCCAAACTCAAAGAATTAACCGATTCACGTTAATTATTGCACCCCCACTAGAAAGTGTTCTGCCCCATTCCTTTCTTTAGGCGAAGCACTGAAAAGTTTAGCAATTTGGTCGAGGATGCTCGTCGACTATGTCCTCCTACGTATTTTTTGGTACTGTTATATGAATTCTATATTGCAGGAACTTAATTTGTGAAGATAACTTGTTAAGAAGATGAAAATTGTGACATCCTTAGTATCTATATGTTTGATTGAGTTCACTAATAGAGTAATCTTTTCGCCCACAATCAAGCATCTTCCCATCCGATTTTTATATACCTCAACTCAGACTTTCTCTTGAAATATAATATATTCTGCATTTGGGTTGATTGCAATGTGTCAGGAGTAGAGTATAGGGTGTTCATTTACCAGCCGACTCTATTTGTGCAAGTGGAAATCAGTTGAATGTCTTTTGTCACCTTGGAATGTGCTAGAGGTCCTTCAATTTTCTTTTTCCTTTTTTAAATTTTACTTCTGCTTCCATGTTGCAATGATTTCACCTTTCTTCTATCTGGTTAGGTTGGAACATATTCTTGTCTTCATCTTGTATTTTTTGAAACTCATAGGAGTGATGCAGTCGAATGATATGAGGCCCCGGCGTACACTGGCTCCTTCACGAGAAGCTTCACGTAACATGGGTCCAACAGCCGTTCCTGCCGTGGATGACAAGAGGTCAAAAGATGCAGTTCCATTTGGTAAAGTTCACACAGTAAGAGAATCTGTTATGCAGACAAAAAACATAGGCTCTGTCATGAAAGAAACCCAAGATGATGCGACAATCACACCCCCTTCCTTCTCAGGCACCATTACCAAGTCTTTTAATGACAGTTTCAACCCATTTGATGAACGAATACATCAACCAACATCTATCATTGATTATAAGGAGAAGGATCCTATGCCTCTGACCCATGTAGAACCTCAAGTAGACCGTTTAAAGAAAGTCCAGTTTTCACTAGGAGAAAATGTTGCTTCCCGAGGTAACATGTTAATTATGTTTTTCCAGAGATATTTCCATAAACTATTTTGCATTACACATTTTACGATGAGTTTCTACGTAAAAGTTTAACTTTTTACCGCGAAACATCAGTTTGAGATTTTCCTGGCATTTGTCAATATTCTTTGGCAATAGATACAGCAATTCCTTTCAATATGCAGGGGCCAACGCTCAAGTGGCCCCTGAATTGGGGAATTCATCATCTCATATCAGTCCATTTGCATTGACAGAAATGGAGTGGAATGCAAGCAATCATTTGGATGCGTCGACTGTTATCAATCAGGAGTTGAAGCATCAGAATCTCCAGAACACAGACTCTGGTAGCCACTTAAGATCTGATGTTGGAATTCCTCCTCTGCTAGCAAAGAGAACTGCAGTTGTTCAGGATCAGCTACACCATTTCAGAAATTTTCTAAGTCAACCTACGACTCTATCTTCAGTTGTTGGTCCATATTGTGCCACAACAACTTCAGTAAATTCAGCCTCTGCACCCATGCTGAGTTCGACAACCTACACCGCATGTCGTAATCTAGAGGAGGAATCTCAATTGGCAGTAGAAGCTCCTGGAGATGCTAATTCCAATCCTGAATCCGAGGCTCAGAAGAATAAATATCGTTCTTTTGGAAATACTAGTGGCATAGTAGGTGACCAAGCACCTATTACAGCTCAAGCTTCTAGCTCCTGCATGGATGGCCCTACAGAGGACAACAAACATGATTTATCCAAAGTGGAGCTTGTCGAGGTTGAGAAGGACAGCGGCTTTCGACATGATGTTTCCTCCGCTGAGGATAAGTTAATCCAAGCAAAGGGATCTGCTAGTGCCGTCAGTAATATGCAATATGGGGTGCCTGTGTCCAAAGATTCATCTCTGGATGCAAAACAAGAGTCTTCTCAATCAGGAAAACGAGAGAAGGCAATAAGTGGAAGAGGTGCATCGGTCCCTCGAAAAAGGAACTATGATCCTGACCTCTTCTTCAAAGTTAATGGCAAGCTATATCAGAGGCTGGGCAAAATAGGAAGTGGAGGAAGCAGTGAGGTCCATAAGGTCATTTCCTCAGATTGTACAATCTATGCACTCAAAAAAATTAAGCTTAAAGGTAGAGATTACGCTACTGCCTATGGATTTTGTCAGGAAATTGAGTATCTAAACAAATTGAAAGGAAAGAACAACATTATACAGCTGATAGATTTTGAGGTAATCTCACTTCCACGTCCTCTTTTTTGCCCTGTTCTAGCATGATTCCTTCATCCCTTTCATACCTCAATTGCTTATAACAGTTCAGAATAATAAATTTTCATATGCCATGGTCATCAGAATGCCAAACTTAGGTATTCAAAGTGTTGAGGCCCGTGCTTTTAGGCCACATAGGATATAAGTAGATAGTATTGGGAATTTAATGTTGGAAGTGCTAAGTTCCGTGAAGTGTTATAGCCTGCCTGTGAGGAAACAAATTGTTAACTTTATCCCCTTGCCCCCCACCCATCTACTCTTAGTCTTAGCCGTAGCTTTGAATTTTCCTATGGAGGTGGGAAGTTGACAAGTTTGATGTTTGACGGTGATATCTTCTTTCCCAGCAGTATGTCATCTCAATAAATGCATTCACATTGCTTGAAGACTATCCTTATCATAGCTAGGAGGTTATTGAGTGAACCATCTATCAGCACCATATTTTATCGGCATGGTATAATCTATTCATTGTTAGGGATCAGCGCTGTAAATGGTATATGCTGGTCCAGTTGAAAATAATAATTTCATTATCCGCCGGTGTATTATGACATTTTGTAGGTAGTATCTAAGCACCTTGTATCTCATGTTCTTTCCTCCAGAGTTGTTCATGCTTCTCTGGCAGCTAGGTTCTGGAAACAAATGGAGTAGGTGTTTTTAGCTTCTAAATGAAACTTAGACTTTGTGATTTTGAATGTGTTGGATGCCGTTTCTGGTTATGTTTCAATAGATCTCGTTTTTCCCGCCTAATTCTGTTATTGTGCTTTCATATTTTGTCTTGCTATTAATTAAGACATGGCTGATTCCGTTGCTTATGATTAGGTGACAGATAAAACCTTGCTTCATGAAGTCATGAGTGGCTCCATGAACATTAAAGATGGGAGAGTCAAGGATGATGGATATATATACATGGTGCTTGAATATGGTGAGATTGATTTGGCTCACATGCTGTCCCAAAAGTGGAAGGAATTGGATAAGTCAGACCAAACCATAGATGAGAACTGGCTTCGTTTCTATTGGCAGGTATTCAAATTACTTTGTAATGATTGTCATTCTTTAGGTTTTCCTTCTACTAAATAAACTTTGAAACAAACTGCCTATTATTATTTTCTTATTATAATCACATAAAGTACCTCTTTATCTAGTATGCTGACGTACATTGATGATGTTGGGTGTGCGGGAGTCTTAGAACGCCTGACTAATCCCATTTCTGACAATCCTCTGACATACTGCCTCATGATTTGCAACTACTGCTGGATCTTCTTTTCTGATATTACCTATATGATGGAAGTTTACATTTTTTTTGGCAATTCTACGCGTTTTTGGTTAACTTGAACGCTTTAGCTTATGTTATATATTACATTCGCGTCACTTACTTTCATCTTGTAATCCCACTTCATGCTCCATGATGAATGAATCTGCAATAATAGAGATTATCTATGGTTCTTGTGTAAATTACTTCTCTTTCTTTTTCGTCCCTTTGCTTGTGCTCTTGATTATGCCGATTGGCTTGAGGGAAAACTGATCTTTGTTTCTTTGGATATTCGGTTTAGCAAATTCTGCAAGCTGTCAATACCATTCACGAGGAGCGGATTGTGCATTCTGACTTGAAGCCAGCTAATTTCCTTCTTGTGAAAGGTTCATTGAAGCTAATTGATTTTGGTATCGCAAAAGCGATAATGAGTGACACAACCAATATCCAACGAGACTCTCAGGTTATTCTTTTAGTTCACTGTTCTTTCATTTCAGTCCAACTACTGAGCTACATCAAATCACATGTATTTCGTTGCTGTAGGTAGGTACACTGAGCTATATGTCTCCTGAGGCATTTATGTGCAATGAAAATGATGCAAATGGAAATGTCATCAAATGCGGTCGACCTTCAGATATTTGGTCCCTTGGCTGTATCCTGTATCAAATGGTGTATGGGAGAACCCCTTTCTCTGAGTACAAGACATTCTGGTCCAAGTTCAAAGTTATAACCGATCCAAATCATGAAATTGCGTATGAGCCGGTTAACAATCCATGGCTTCTCGACCTTATGCAGAAATGTCTTGCATGGGACCGGAATGAGCGGTGGAGAATTCCACAGCTGCTTAAACATCCTTTTCTTGTTCCTCCAGTTCCATCCCAGATATCTCCTCATCTAAACCACAGCTACAAACTGCTTCAACTTATTGCTGGAGCTTGTACAGATGACAAGGATGCATCAGCTTTATGCTCTCAGTTAAGGCAACTACTTGAGGACCCCATAGCACTTTTGGATTCTCAGTCATTAACATCTCGGAGCCAACATTGCATGTTGCTCTCCCAAATGTCAAAAATTTGTTTTCGGCTACAGGAACATTTAGATATATCTGAAAGATAGATGCGGCTGTAGTGTAGAGGCAAAGCTGTAACTCGTCCTGTTCCAAATTTGTGGGTTGTGAGTTCTGTTTAGGGTGATGAGAATGCAATTCCCCACCAAAATCTTTTTTTCCAATCGGTTTGTAAATTATGAGATTGTTGTTTGTGGCAATGATAGTCCCAGCTTTGGGGGCGTAACGGCTGTTCGTTTCACGGTTTCGAATTGGAATTGTCAGATAGTCTTCTTGCTCTTGAAAGTTGAGCACATGTCCATTTGAGTCAGAGGGCTACTTATCTTTGTTTCAGGTTTGACCAAGCTCAATTCCATTCGTTCAGCAAATATGCTTCCATGGTCTAAGAGTTGGAGTGAGGTTGGAGTTGAACAGCAAATTTTGCGGAACCTCAGTCACAATGAGTTCGGTTCCACTGGTTTTTGTCATCGTGCAGAAATTATGTCCATAGATTTGAGAGATCATGCATGGTATGAGATCTAACATATCTATGATAAAGTCTGAAAAGATTGTGTTCTTGAGTTTGTTTTTAGCTCTGGTGAAATGAGGTGGACTTGGATCGTGTTATGGCCAGGCACCTCAGACGCGCATGGTGCGTGTATCGTCTATTATTAACTGAAAGAGAATTAACAATGTGGTCCTGTAGCACCTTCGATATCGATTAATGGTAAACATAGGGCAATTACGCCGATATCCTGTTGATTTTGAAGAACTACTCTTGCTGTCTGGTTTTTTCTTTTTCTTTTCCTGTTCCTTTTGCTCTTGATTGTTCAACTTTTGGATCGTTATATGCAAACAGTTGCATGGCAAATCATCTTGCTAACAAAACCAAATAAAAGGAATATGATTACACAACTGAGCTAAACAAGACTTGAACCTCGAACAAGAAACCGATCAAAGTAGGTTTAGTGTGAGTAGGTTTCCTTGTCCAAGTGGTTTCTTAGTTTAAATAGGTTTTCTAGTTTAAGTCGGCTAAAATATTTTTCCTATTTTGGATCAAAATATAGAAATAATTATGATATATCTATTGATTATCCGTATTGCACGTATATTGCATGTATATCTCCTTTTGCTTTTACATATCTTGATTGAGATATTATCTTGGAATAGTTATTTAATAAAGTTTATAAATAGGCCGATGTATTCTTCATTAATATAAACATCGAAATATACACAAAATTCTGTATTTCTCTCTTCTGCGTCTCTTTATTCTTAACAGCTCTAATCTTGCACATCGCTGATCCAGCGACGACAATTATTGGAATACCTCAAACTATATTCCTCAAACCAGCAACATAGACGTAACGAAACATGACGATGTGCTTCTTGCTTTTCCCAAATCTAAACCATTTCTATATACAAATAACAAGTGCTAACATGCAGCCACAGGTCAGAGCGCATGGAACTGTGGAAGTAGTAGGGTCTGTTCTATCAAATTCGTATTAATATTAAGAGCCTCGACTGGCCTGATGACCATCCTCTGCCATTTTCCTCAAGTCCATCTCTTGGAGAGTCTGTTGACCCCGACTGCTTGAGCTTGATGGTTTAAGATCATCCTAGCTACTAAGTCGCTGAACTCGCTTTGTGGCTTGTTCTTGGCTTTCCGGGGCCATTATCCTGAATTTCTTTGAATCCTCCCCTAATGTTGGCTGGCGTCATAATCTAAGCTTTCACAACGACTCTATGCTATGCTGTGTCTTGGGATAACTCCTTCATTTGAATTGCTCATAGTAGACATGGCCACGGGCCGGTTTTGGCCCGGAACCGGCCCGTGGCCTACGGGCCCGGTTCCGGTTCCAATAATTTTGGAACCAGCGGTTCCGGGGCCGGTTCCAAAAAAAAAAAAAAAACTACTGCTGCAGCGATTCCTCCTCTCCAGAATCTTCCCCTCCTCCTCCGCCGCAGCAACCCATGGCCCACGCTCTCCCCCTGCAGACCAGCAACATCGCCAACACCGCCGGTGCGGCGGCACGCAAGGGCAGGACCGTGGAGGAGACCTACCAGAAGAAGTCCCAGCTCGAGCACATCCTCCTCCGCCCCGACACCTACATCGGCTCCGTGGAGAAGCACACACAGTCGCTGTGGGTCTACGAGGGCGACGAGGTGGTCCACCGCCCCGTCGCCTATGTCCTCGGCCTCTACAAGATCTTCGACGAGATCCTCGTCAACGCCGCCGACAACAAGCAGCGGGAGCCTGCAGCCCCACGTTCCAACCCCACACACGCCCACCTCCTCCAGTCCTCCTCCAAATCCCTCCTTCCCCCCTCTCCCCTGCGCCTCCTCCGGTCCTCCCCTTTTCTCTCCGCCCGCCCCCCGTCTTCCCAGATCTGACCCCCGCCGTCGTCGCCGCCGTCGCCGCCGTCGCCCCCGCCCATGGCCGCAGCCGCCGACGCCAACGTCCCCTCCTCCTCCCCCTCGCTACCCTGCGCCTCCTCCCCCCTTGAACCGGAACCGGAACCGCCCCCTTGCGGTTCCGGTTCATACATGGCCACGAACCGGAACCGGCGGTTCCTGAACCGTGGCCATGTCTAGCTCAGAGAAAGGTTTCCTTCCTACGCTCAAATTACCTGATTACACAAAGCTCAAATCTTATTCCACACTAGTGGACCAATTCGCATCGACCGGTCAATGCCCGGAAAGTGAGTTGTAGCAAACTAAGACACTGAAAATACCGTTTTCTTTTCCTTCTTCTAGCTCAAATGAAGTGATAACCAAGGACTTTTCATTTGTCGGAGGAGCAAAACCACTAAATAGAGCATAGAGTTAACGTCTATAACGTGGGAAAAAAAGAAGAAGAAGAAAGAAACACCCATTTTCACATTGAACTAAAGGCCTTTCAACTAGACAATGTAGCCGTGTGTCCAAGCAGTAGCACAATTTCGTCGGTATCACAGTCCCTTGGATCAACACCGGCATCGAATTTGCTTTATTCTAATGCTGGTGCGAGCAAAGGGCCTAGAGCCCAAAATTCCATTGGATGAGTCAATTCCATGACATTATTCGAGGTGGAGGGGAGAGGGAAACGTGTAAGGAAAGGAAACGTGGAAGGTGGGGAGGGAGCGGGTGCATAAATGCTTTAACTAACTTCATAACGAGACCGTTCATGGACATCGTTCCCTCCGTCCGCCCAACCATTCCCACCTTCCTCACGCCGACGCAATTTTTTATGCTCTCCACCAACCCTCTCCGCGCTTTCTCCCTGCAGCGTTCTCGCGTTTTCGTCCGTCGCCCATCTCCCGAGAAGCCGATTCTCTCCGTCGCTCCATCGACGGCCGGGGAAGGTGCGTGTTCCTGCGAGACGTCGCTGCTTGCTTGCTTCGATTTCACGGCTAGTCTGGGTTAGGCCGAGGTCTGGTGCGTTTGCCTAGCAATTCCTGTTTGCACTTCACGTGTTCGATGAAATGTCTCCGTGGTTTATCGAGGAACCGAACGACTTAATTGTGGATGCCATGGGGGGGAGGAGGAGGTCCCACCCACCGTGTGGTTTCTGGCTCTTGTCCGTGGACCAAACACGGTGTACTGCTTTGTAATTTGATTGTTTGGTCACCCAGAAAACTGGTTAAACGAAAATTCTGGAATGAATGGTAAATTATCTCGAGGTTTCTTTACTCGAGTGTGGTTCGGGATGAAAAAATGGAGATATTACCTTGTTACTTTATGGCAATATCATCTGCTCTTCAAGTTCAACTCTTTGTTGGTTGTGTTCTACTATCTCAGAGTTGACAGGTTATTCATTTCATTTTTTATTTTATCCTTCTCAGAAATGGACTTGCAATCGCCCTGTGTTCTAGTTTTATCTGGGAAATCGCCTGCAGAAACGGAATTTGCGAAAACTTTGAAGAGCAGTAGCACTCTCAAACTCCCTGACAACAGTGAAGTTAGAATCTTTGTGCATCCAGATACTCAGAGGCCACCAAGTGAAGAGTCTTTCCAAATTGATTTGTTTCTGAAGTCCCTTTTGACAAATCAGTTTGGTAGGTTTTTCATTTGGTCTCCACGCTTGCCATCAACTCACGACGTTGTTGCGCAGTAAGCATCGAGTTAGTGATTTTCTTGTAGCGCCAGTTTTTCGGAAGTTCAACCATGTTTGCTTTCTTTACAGCAACTTTTGCGAACTTCCTATTGGTGCAGTCTGTGCTGCTGACATTCAATCGAAAGGACGAGGTTGGAATTCCAACCGTTAACTTGATACGTGGATCTTTAGCGTTGGTTCTTTGGATCTTATTCGTTTAAATTTGTAGGAAGGTCAAAGAATCTTTGGGAATCTCCAATTGGTTGCCTCCTCTTCTCTTTTACGATTCAGATGGTTGATGGGAAAATCGTGCCTCTTCTGCAGTATGTAATTTCGCTGGCTATTACTGAGGCTATAAAGGAGATATGTGACAAAAATGTAAGCACAGAAAGATCCTCTTCGTTGTTTCTTTCTGTCTACTTTACTATTTGGGAGTGAGCCAAAAAAAGAATGATTAACAAATATTATATTTTCATCTGGTCTGTCTGAGATCACGAGTTCTTCATGATAGAGTTCTTCATGATAAAGCTAAGAAAATTAATTCGAGATTTATGCAAATTTTGTACTGTGCATATAATACTTCTTGGTGTGTACATTTTGGCTGGCATGTTCTACTGAGGTACAATGATTGATACATTTACATACATTCATTTTGCTTCAGGGACTTCCCTACCTTGATGTTAGAATAAAATGGCCGAATGATCTTTACCTAAATGGCCTTAAAGTTGGGGGCATTCTGTGCACATCAACTTATAAGTCGAAGAAGTTCAATGTTAGTGCCGGTAAACAGACTCATCTTTTGGACAAAGCGTATGCTCCCATATGCTTTTTACTGAGAGCCTTGAAGCTACATGCTACTTCGAAAAGTAGAATTTTTGCTGTTTTACTGAAGTTATCCTCTCTGACACTAAGAACTGTTCCATGACTCATCTACACTTGGACATTGACTCATCACCTGTATGTGCAGGTATCGGCTTCAATGTTGATAATGAGAAACCAACTGTGTGCTTGAATGCGGTCTTGCGAGAATTGTCAATTACTTCTTACAAATTTACACGGGAGGATATCCTTGCAGCTTTTTTCAATAAATTTGAATACTTGTACGATCTATTTATAGATCAAGGTAACTCAATGTATTCATTGTGAATTTTTTTTTTTTCTCTTTGAAGTTTGTTTCAATTCAATCATCAATGTTTACTTTTCACTTTTCTCATACTATATTCGTAAGGTAATACATGTTGGAGACTTCCTTTCATATGCCTTAGAATCGATAATTGGGTAGTAAGAAACAAACTTCTTACTTTCCCATGGAGGAGATATTGCACTAATAATAAAAATTTAACCTTGGTCAGTAAGATAATGTACTAAGTAAAGTTTTTGATCTTTATCCTTTGTTACTTGTCTAGAAAAGGTGACAAAACTTCTGATTTACATGCATGGGACTGAATGGAGCCGCCCTTTTCGTTTACTAAGCGAGGGTACCTTTTTCTTATGCTCTACAGTCTTTTCTAGCAGGGTAGTCAGTCTGATAAGTAACCTTTCCCTATGGTAAGAGTCTCTGGTCAAACTATGGTGCACGTGCTGAATGAAGTTAGCCAAGAATGCTCAATTGACTCGCTTTCTTCACTGCTTTTTAGTCTTGATTTTAGGCTCTGCTACTGCGTGTTTGCATCTTGAATAGAAAAACAAATGGGCGGGGGTCTCTATTTTATATTTTCCATTTGGTGCTTTTATTTTGCCAACTTGTACATAATGTCATTTTCTTTAAATGCAAAACTTACATGACTTGTAATGAAACATCTTTTATGACAAAATTGCTACTTGCAAGAATGTGCATGAGAGAGAGAGAGAGAGAGAGAGAGAGAGAGAGAGAGAGAGAAGATATTGGATCTGTGCCAGACTTTACAAGCTTGAGCTGGTCATCCTTGGTTTGTTCAGTAAATTGTCAAAACACTGACTGCTATCCTACTGTGTACATTGTCCTCTTTCTAATGATATGTTTCTAGTGATTTAACATCATAAAATGGACAGTGATTTTGTTGGACTACAGTGGGCTTTTGAGCAGCATTCTGTGCACTATAATTATGGTCTAAAGGATGGTTTTGAAGTTCTTGTGCATTGTGTTGTGCAGGATTTCAAGCTCTAGAGGAGCTGTATTATAAGACATGGTTACACAGGTAATGCAAATGTGCAAATTTCACTTGTTTGTTCTGCTAACGCTTTTCTTCTGCCATATTGTGAAATTTGTGTGTAGAGACCGAAATCATTCTAGGTCTGTGCATGTTTATGACAATTAGTGTAGAATAGCCTCATTTCCTACTTAGATTCCGTGAGAGAGGTGTACGATTCAACAAACTTGTCTGAACATGTTTCTAGACAACTGGTGGATTTTTTTAAGAATTCTGGAGTTGTGGTGTTATTGTTTCAAAATCCTTGTTTTGGGTTCCATTTGGGGTTTATGTGATGGATCCCTTGGTTCGGGAGAGTCTTTCATAGAAGACTTTTGACGTGTGAATTCTTCACATGGGATGGAGGCAAGTCTTTACAAACACTTTTCATGGAATGTTCAACTTTCTAGGTTCTATTGATATTTGGTGCATCAGTTAAACAGCTTTTGTGCTTTTGGAAATAAACTCTACACAACGAAGATGACGGACCTATGTATAAAGCTTAAGACATGCCGTTGCTTATATATAAACCATTTCCTAATAAAAAAAGGGTTATTCTTTTAAGCATTGACTAGGGCTCACTTCACCCATTACTAGTTCGTTGAAGCATAGTAAACAACTTCAAATGTTTCTTGTCAAACTTGGTTCAACAATTCACTAATTTTGAACTTTGTTTTCACAGTAGCCATGCAAGATATAAGGGAATGTTTAGAGCTGTTCTAACGAGCATTTCTTAATTTTAAAGGATATGAAAGATTAGAAAGAAGCAAATGACAACCAAAATTTGTTGATTAAAACTTGATTTTTCAACTAAAAAGAATAGCTTGTATGTGCAGGCCAATGCATTCAAAGTGCTTGTGCTTTTCGAACTTAGTTACCACATTAAGCTATTTTCTCTGATATATCACCTGCTCAGTCAGCAATAAAAGAAATACTGGACTAAAAAAATCAGAAACAAATTCTCAATGAACATAATTCAGTCAAAAAACCTTTCGCGATCATTTGATTCGTATGTAGCTCTTTCTCCTGACTTGCTCCTTATCTTCTGCTGTCACAACAGAACCCATTTGCTTTTCTAAGCTTTGCTTTTCCTGACTTGTTACAAATTTGAAATGTACTGCTTTAGCTTTAACGTGCTAGTCAAACACATCAACAGAGATGCAACTGCCAGCACTGTCTCAAATGTTCTTCTAGGTGGTCCTGTACTTTCTAATTTGCTTTGCGATCAATTTAATGATTGTAACTTTCTTTTACACTCTGTTTTTGCTTGAATTTGCGTTACATATGAATTTCCTTTTCCTTTACCACTGGTACTTCTACCTGATTGGTTTGGGTAGATAACTGAAAGAAAACACACCCATTTCTAGCAGCACATGATGCATTGGCATTGGTTCTTCATGGTGTTACTGATTCTAGCAAGAGGCATTATGTGGAAGACATTATAAAAATTTATACTAGTGCCAAAATGGGTTATAATTTTGTGAAAGAGTAAACTGAAAAGTAAACCAGATTGTTTTGCCATCACGGAGTTCTTCCATCCATTGCCATGTCTTATAACATGTAGTCATGTTGATTAATGTGCCGAGACAAATTTTATTGAAGTTGAGCCTCGATGCTTTCTGTGTCTGCACTTCTCTATTTATGTAAATGCTGTTCTATGTTTTTATCTTTTAATCTTATATGCACTTTACATGTGACTTGTAGTGGTCAGAGGATAATTGTACAGGAGAAGAACGAGGAGCAGGTGGTGGAAAATGTTGTTACTATACAGGTAAGACAAGGAAGGAAAATTTGATAGTCAACATATACCAGCAATATGCACACAGATTTGAGATATTTGTGCACAATTTCGTTAATGCATGTCAAAGGAACTAATTTAGTGTGGATTCTGTTTGTAGGTATGTAGAGAACTTGTTCATTTTTTACTAGCGTCTTGTATAGGTTTGGCTATAACTAGATTAATTTGACAGATAATGTATCTATATTTCTACATAGTGTAGAGCTGTGTAACACTCACGTGTGTCATTAGTGAAATCTACTTACTCAAACGTGATATTTTATTTTGATAAATATTTAGGGACTGACGCCATCAGGGTACCTTTTGGCTGTTGGTGAAGACAACCAGATGTGTGAGCTTCATCCTGATGGCAACAGGTACTTCATTTAAGCTGTATGCCGTTTTTTTTTTCTTAAAAGTGCATTGTGCACGTCAGTTGTATAGAGAGCGATATAACAAATTTCTGCAAACTTTGATGAGTCGCTCCCATGGTGTATGGTAGTTCAGGCGTGCATTGAAGTTGAGTAATTTAGGTTTTCAGAACTCTCTGAACTCAAACACCTCCAGAAAGGATCTGAATGCATTTTTATTTGCTTACTTGCCTAGGTTTTTTTATGCATGTTGTGTGTGCTAGATTTTGTTTCAGTTCCTCTGAGATGGTCTGCTTCTAGTATTTTTGGCTTCATTGGATTCATTGAAACTCCATATATTCAGTAATTTCTTGCTTATTTTCATTCCTACGCAGTGCATATGCTATATATTAGGCATTTTCATTATGTTTAGAATTTACTGGCGAGATGCAGGGACCACCGATCTTGTCTTTTCTGGTTTATCATTCCCCGTTGGACTGACTGCAGGCTATTTGGCTAGGAAATACGTGTAAATGGTTCATGATAACTATGACTTCTATCCACAATCTCATGTTATGTGATGCATCTTTTCTTCTCACATGGCTGCAGTTTTGACTTCTTCAAAGGACTGGTCAGACGGAAGCTTTGAATAAGATTCGTTGCCTACTCCAATCGAGGCATAAGCCATGCACCGCGTGCATCCCTCAGGACTTGTTGCTTCAATGTTAATTAAGTACTCATAAATAACGTTTTAGTTTTCATTTATTTTTTTTAGAAAAACATCCCAGGTAAGATAAGAAGTTCAAATTAATTCATCAGCACGGGAGTGAAGGCAACTTGTGGACATATTGTTTTAGCTTGGTTGCCTGCAATAAAGCACATATGGTTGACCATATGTATCAATTGGGCTTGAATCTCTGGGGACAGGGTTACCAAATCACTAGTCAATTGAACCAATCCAATGTCATTGAATGCCAGTCTTCAATTGTTTAATATATCGTGGCATCTCCTTTGCAAATCGCTGGTTGTGGTATTTGTTTGTAAGGACTGTTCCCATAAAGCATTTTCTGTAATGCTGGAACATGCAAGATGAAGATTGTTCCTTCATTATTTGGGCTTTGTCCCGGTCTTAACACTAAAGTAGCTGGCCTCGCAATTCATCATTGATTGAAGAAGAATTTGCAACCTCTGAAACCCTTGTGTAGCTGGGGATCAGCAAGAGACTCTTTAAATCTTTCTAGTGTTATCATCTCTGATTAATGAAAAGAATCAATTTTTTAACATCGTCGTGCCTTTTTATTATTATGATTGAATAGAGAGTGCTATTTCGGGTTGAACCGAACAGGGGCGTGGGCACTCAGGATAGGAACTATCGGGTCATCTGTCCCTTTCTTCCAACCTTAATGTGTGGAGGGGTGGGCACGCTGGTCCCGCCGTATGTGGTGGGAAAAAGTAAAGGAGGAACCAATACTGCTTCACATGCAAAAAGCTATCAACGTTCGAACTCTGTAGCTTCAAGTTTTGTTTCTCACCTAAAAGAAATATTTACAAAAGAAAAGGACCAGGTAGTTCCAAGGGACTTATCATTTGGAGATGGCCACAACCTGTCAAATGGTTGGTCCATGTGGCGGACACTGTCGCCATCACAACATGGAATTTGCATCGAGGTTACGAGTCTACTTCTTCTTCTTCAGCAAAAGGCTGCAAAAGAGCATTGTGGGGAAACCCCACTTGCCATTGATTGGAACAGAGAACGGGACATGGTGGATGCTCTTGCGTGACTCACGAAAACACTTCGGCTTTTGTTGCTTGCTGGGTTTCTGCTGGGTCCGACACTTGTGCCCACAACACACCCATTTGCACCAGCTTTTTGTCCCTCTCTTCGGTTTTGTCGCTCATCTGCGTCATTGGGAATATGAACTCAATTTTGTGCGCATTGTGAACATGCGACATATCGCATGGCTCAAATCCTAGAGCTGGAGATGGCAATTATATTCTGGTTTCGTAAGCATGGGGTGTGGAAAAGAAATGGTTACTACGTACTTTTACGGGGAAAATTATCAAAAAAGTTCTAAACATATTACATTTGTGCCAATTTAATTTTAAACCTTTCAACTGTGCCACATTTTGCCAATGCAGTCCACTCGAGGCTAACCCTTACCAGCCTCGGTGAGGCTCACTTTCGCAAGAGGGTAACCTCGCCTGCATTGGCAAGGGCCTTGCCGATCGTAACTTGTGGGGCGGAGGAAGAAGGAAAAAGAAAAAGAAACCAAAGAAAAGACAAAAGATACAAATATAAAATATTCAAAAAATATTTAAAAATTAATAAATTTTATCCACGTCAGGGCCGGTCGTGTCACGTAGGACGATCAGCATCTACGTTAGCGATTTCTGGCTAAAATTGGCCGGATGAACTATATTGCAAAACATAAAAAAGGTTTAGGACTAAATTAGCATAATTGAGAGATTTATGACAGAATTTGCGCGAATGCAATAGATTTAGGACTTTTTTTTATAATTTTTCCTATTTTTATGTATTCCTACGAGTAATCGTCTCTTAGTACTTTAACGAATTTACGCTCGAGTAACCTCTTTGAATGTGTAATTTGTAGCTAATAATCATCGGAAAACATATGCCTACCGACAAATATAAGTTAATTAGAAGGTATTCGAGGAGTAGAAACTGAAAATCATGACGATATGGCAAAGGTAATTAATTTCGTCTAGCCACGTACTGTAAACGTGCCTATACCCATCGTTACTCGTTAGACTAGGAGATGGACTTAGCATAAAAAGGATTGGGGCCTCGGGGTTCGGCTCTTATTTTCTTAGCAATATGAGATCGGTGGGGTATTTCATGATTTTAAAGTGCGCTCAGCTAAAGCAGGTTTCCTCACCACAGACGAGCTCCCGCTACGCAATGTCGTGGTTTCTTGTGATTCACATATACAAGAGAGGAAACAGGAGTAGCATCGAACATGATCTGATGCAAGAATGGACATGAATAGTGATGGCGGCAAAAAAGAACCAATGCAAGATGATTATGTAAAGTCTCTTCTTAAGTATCAAATAAAGTGCAAAGATGTTAACCCAGTGGTGGTCAAATGCTCTTCAGTTAATCACATGGAATACACCTTTTGTGGGCCAACATGTGTCGTGGTGGGGTTGACAAATATGAGAGAGAAAAAGGGAGAGAGATTATGTAGGAACTCTAAAGAACATTCAACCATACGAGGTCCTTCATGTGAGTCTTGACTATTCAAATGCTTACGTGCCAACGTGCCAATCCCTGAATTAGAAGAATTTCAAAGCCATCATCCATTATCTAAGATCCAATCTTGTGAGGGGGAAATATCTGTCATTCTTTAAAAACGGGGGGAAATGATGTAAATGGTTTTGGGACTTTGATCCAGTATGTAATGCCGTCCCTGAACTTTTAATTTGTTCAATGTGATTCCCGAACTTTTGTCTAATACTCAATGTGATCCTTGAACTTTTAGACATTTTTCACATAATCTAGGGACTATATTGAACATTCATTAATAATCCAGGATCATGTTGCACAAATTAAAAGTGTAGGAATGACGTTACACATTGAACCAAAAATTCATGGACCATATGTGGTATTATCCCTCAAAATCAACGCGGATATGCGTGATGTTATTTGCGTGGACTATCAATAAAATCGATTGGTCCTGGTCCAAAGGCCGAGGATGTGCACCAAGTGTTAAATAGTCTAATGTGCATCAATCATGTAACAAGACACCGAAAGCAAAAGTTCTTTTATTTTGCATTTGCACGTGTATAATATGACTTCCTGCCCAAAATAATATAAAAAAATCGATCTTATCACACAAAACATGTTTAAAACTTAAAAGGGAAACATAAAAAGTTAATTAATCTATAGTTTCTTGTATATTTATACTATAATTTTCATGAATCACCAAACATAAATCAATCAATTGTTTCGCATTCGGTCAATGAAAGACAACGACACCATGAAGCTTTGGGTTAAGAGCGCATGCACACGATGTAGTGACACAAATAGTTTATGTATTTTGACCCAATATGCGTTGTAGTCCGTAAATTTTAACCCTATATGTAATGCCGCCCCTACACTTTTAATATATCCAATATGTTCCCTAAACTTTTGATACATGTTTAATTTAATATATTCGATATTGTATTTCCGTTAATTCAAGTTCAGAGATAATATTAAACATAGTCCAGAGATTAGATTGAATATACATAAAAAGTTCAGAAATCACATTAAATAAATTAAAAGTTTGAGGATCATATTTCAAATTAGGTCAAACTTCAGAGAAAATTTATCTCGTTTTCTTTTGTAACGAGCCTCGCGAATTTCGGAGTCAAGCTTAGATTTTCAAGAATGAAGTGCTTGGTTGAAGATTGAATTGTTTGACAATTATTCCTCTGATCCGCGACACGTGGACGGTTCTCGACGAGTCAATTTCCGCACGCTTTGACCGGCCTGGAGTTTACGTAAAACTCACCATTTTTCAACTGACAGGAAAAAAAAAACATTTATAATTCCTTTTTGCCTTTGTCATGCATATATAACACGTGACATGCAATAATAAATAAACCGAACGCAATCGTCAAAGCATATAAAGCACACGATATCCACGCAATAAAAAAAACACATTTGCTATATGCAATCTGAACAATCAAATAGACAAAAAGCTTCGCGGAACTTTTAGAGGTTTTCTTTTTTTTTTTCTTTGACGAGAAAATACACCGACGATAGATAAAATCCGAAAAAATTTATCCAAAACGTCCTAATTTTGTTGCATCTTTACTTATCCAATCATAAGTATTTTAATTTTGCCAATTGAGTGTTAAACATTTTTATCTTTTACCAATTGAGGCCATCCAGTCATTTTTAACCGGGAAATCGTTGATGTGGATGTGGCTGTTCTACAAGCACGGCTGACACTAAGGTGAAATTTTTTTAATGCTTTTTTTTATAAAATTTCTAATTTTTTTTATTTTCTTTCTTCCTTTTTTTTCCTATTCTTTTTGTCGGTGATTGACAAATGGCCACTAGCCACGAGCGGCAAGGGCTAGCCTTGTCGGATCTGGCGAGGCCACCGCGGCCTGGGTGAGGGTTGACCGATGGCCTCGCCGGCCACCGACAAAAGGAATAGGGAAAAAAAAGAAGGGGAACAAAATCAGAAAAATTATTTTAAAAAATTCAAAATATTATTAAAAACGTCCACATTAATGCTGGTCGTGCCACGTAGGACGGTCGGCATCCACATCAGCGATTTTAGGTCAAAATTGACCAGATGGACTCGATTGCCAAAATGTGAAAAGATTTATAACTTAATTGGCAGAATTGAAAGGTTTATGATTGAGTTGGCAAAAATGCAATAAGCTTATGACTTTCTGGATAATTTTCCCGGTAAAATCCCCGGTGCACGCGTGACATACACCAGTCGAGATCATACCTAGTAAGTAGCCCGCCATCATCAAAATTTGGTGTGCGAATGTCCAAGGCCTAGGAATCCACCTAGAAGGGGGAGATTCCATTATTCCTTTTGCTCGATGCCGTTGCTGTCGAGCTCGGCGTTTTCGGCAAAAGGATCGTCGTCCAATCACCTAAGTTTGCGGGTGGCAATTGGAGATGCGTGCCGATTGGGGAGTGCGGACTTAGCAATAATTCTCGAGGGAAATTTATCTTATCTTATTTGCTAAAAGTGGGGGTGAAAAAAACGAAAAAAGGTACAACGGAATGAGAACGTTCCGCATCTTTCGAGGGCATAATCCTACAAACGCGCGGCATCTTTCTTCGGGGTCAAATCTCTCTCCAGTGACGTCATCTTTTTGGAGCGTGACGTCAAAAATTTCATGCGCGACCTTGGTATGAATAGTGTTTAGGTAGATTTAACACGCGCACGTGTTACACCAAGAAGGAAATTTTGGCCTATTCCGATTGAAATCCGTCGTGGCACTTGATGAACTGAAGCAAATCAATTGGTGATGATTATGTTCGAAGAAAACGATTGGGACTTGTACAATTAAGGCTTTTCTAATTCCCTATCCCCTTCCATTCTCTAACTAAGATTGATCTATGGCTAGATCAATTGGTCGTCCGCACCGAGTCGGGGTTTCATGTTAATTCAGCGCTCATGCTGGATCCTGGACGGACATTCTTTCTCGAGTTAACTATAGGGCTATGCTTTGTCATTGTTCTGGTCTAGGTTAGATGGAGCGTGGATCGCTCCACTACACGAAATACGAAATGTCGCCGGGGTGAAAATGTGGAACGATCGGGATTGCCTCTTTTCGTCATGTAGTTAGCATAAGACATGTTTTTTTTTTCATAAATTATAATATAGATAAAACAATGTATTTCGGACATGTCTAAGTCACTAAGTTTCGCCCGTTCAAACGAGAAAATGACTACATTTAAATATGTTTTCTAAGGTCAAGGTATCGGCATTAAAAATATAATCTCGAGTAAGTCGCGCGATTATTTACATCGGAACGCTCATTTTAGTGCCACCAAATCGATAGTGTATCGCGAAAAAGAACGCCTATACCAAAGTACGGGTCTTTGGTGTAATAGGTTGGTTTCGAGATTAAGGGCGGAAGATAGGATAAGCTTCTTCTTCTCCTCCAGTTTCTCCTCCTCTCTTTTCTTCTTCCTCTTCTTCTTTCTTTTTTTGCATTTACCTGCTAAATTTTAGACACCATAATCATATTATAATTCAGGGTTAATACAAGAAAAATTCCAAACTGGTACACCTGTGACAAATTTACTTCAAACTAATTTTTTGATTATAAAAAATCCCAAACTGGTACACCTATGACAAATTTACTTCAAACTAATTTTTTCACCACTAAAAATCCCAAACTGGTACACCTATGACAAATTTACCCTCCGTTATATTGGATTAATATTATGAAAAATCACAAATTGATAAATCTATGACAAACGGAGGGGTAAAACCATAAACCGGCACACCCGTCAACTGCCACGTGTCATCTAACTTAGTAATTTGAAGGTAAAATTTAACAGAAATTAACTAAGGGTAAATTTGTCACATGTGTACCAGTTTGAGGTTTTTTTATGGAGTCACAGGTATACCAGCACGAGGTTTTCCGATATATGAAGCCTATAATTCATGATCTCCACAGTAAATTCTCGCGTGGGATTGACGAATTGCGTCAATACACCTCGCGATTATGCCTCCCATATGGCAAGCAAAAACATCCCACGCAAGAATTGACCTTTCGGAACTCGCACTATTCACATATAGAATAGAACCCATTCCCTTCCCGACAAAGATGTCTCCGCCGCTCCATCTTTTTGCTAGTGTGAACGACCGACCTCATGTAAAACAGCCAATGCAATTCGATGCCTTTTGCATCTTCTCCACCGCGTAAGATCTTATAACTGGAAATCAAATCTCCCATCGACTTATCACTTGCTGCGGTACTCTAGGGTTTGCGCCTTGTGTAATGATCCGATACGCACTTCATACCTCAAAAAAGGGAATCGTCCATCGTCTTACCACTTGCCGCGGTATTCTAAGGCTTTCGCCGTGCGTAATCAAACGCGACCCGATGCGTGCATTGGGTGCGCGTGTTTGATGGCTCTCAGTAAGTGTGATGTTCGTAAGCGAGTGCACGAAAACAAAATATGGGAATTTCGAGAATCAATATGGAAAATACACTCCTAGAGATTTCAGAACGGTGACCATAAACGTGTAGATGAGATGCCGGCTAAAATTCGTATATGGAATTTATGAAAATACGAAATGTCTGAGAAGTGACCTCTCGCGAAGAAATTCCTCGCATAACTAAAATCATTATTCGTAATTTCGAAATCATCAAAGAAGATTATCAATAAAATCCCAATATTTGCTCTCTTCCTACCGTCTTGTCACCCTTTTTTTTCTTCTTTCGAATATTTTCTGGTTGCGTGGTTTGTGTTAATTTAACTTTATACAATTGAATAAAAGTACGTATTCTCGTCATATATGAATCTAATAATTTAAACTTCATCGCAATAATAATAACGACGACCACGGCGATAACAGATAAACAAATATAAGGTCTATCATCTCAAAATCTTGATAAAAATTGAAAGACATAATATGTACTCGTGATTTGTTATTTTTTTCTTCTTCTTTTTTTTTTTGGGGGGGGGGGTTGGGTTAGTCTACGATGACGTGGGATGGTACCGGTCCACGCGTCGCTCACGGGGGACATGGCCGACGCGTCCCCTCCTGGGCGCGCCGGCCTCCCCTCCCTCCCTCCGTCGCCGTCCGATCAAAGCGAGCCTCCCCGCAGCCCATCGATCCCCCCTGAGCCAACGGCCTCACATTCAAAACTCTCTCCCCCCCCCCCCCCCCCCAACCTCTCTACTTTCTCCCTCATCGCCGCCACCACCGCCGCCGCAACCACCGCCGGAAAATTCCTCTCTGTCCGCGCTTAATCTCCGCCACTTGCGTGTTTATAGCATTTATCGCCCCCCCTCCCACCCTCTACCCTCACTCTCTCTCTCTCTCTCTCTCTTTCTCTCTCTATCTCCTCTCCCTCGCCTGCACGCACGACTCGTATATAACCGTCTCTCTCTCTCTCTCTCTCTTGCTCTCTCTGTGCACGTCGTCAATTGTCGATCTTCAATTGATCGGCCGTTTCGCGTCCGTTCGCCGCCGGCATCCTCCGATGCATTCCTCCTCCGCCGCCGCCGCCGCCCTCCGCCTCCCTCCCGGCGGCGGCGGCGCCGCCCCGGCCACGGCCGCATGAACCCGTTCTGCTGCGTCTCCCCGCTCTCCGATCACAGGCCCTCGCCGGTCCTCTCCTCCCGCCTCGCCATGTCCTCCGCCGCCGGCGCCAGATCCGATCCGGCCGTCCGGCTCGGCAACCACTTCCACGGCAACGGCCAGAACCACCACGGCCACGCCAGGATCAGCAGCTGCAGCGATCAGAACCGGCTCAGCCAGCGGTCAACGGCGGACGCGGCGGCGGGGATGGCGCGGATGCCGTCCGCGAGGGAGCAGCCGGCGGTCGACGTGAAGATCAACGACATCGTGGGGAACGGCATATCGGGAATGCTGTACAAGTGGGTGAATTACGGTAAAGGCTGGAGGCCCAGGTGGTTCGTGTTGCAGGACGGGGTGTTGTCGTATTACAAAATACACGGACCCGATAAAATCGTGGTTAACCAGGAGACGGAGAGGGGATCGAAGGTTATAGGTGAAGAATCGATGAGGAGGGTCTCCAGGACTTCCCATGGCCAATCGCAGCTCCGGCGTAAGCCTTTCGGTGAAATTCATCTCAAGGTATGGGGAACAACTGCCTGTGATCCCGTCAATGATCTTGTTTCGTTCGTAATTGCATGTTCAGTTGGATTTTTCTTCTCCGATTATCTAGCGATTGCTTCTCGTTTCCATCAAGCTGGAGTTTCCGCATGTGTCGCTAGTTCCATTGGTCTCGATCGTGCTCCAGTGAGAATCACGATGAGATGTTGTAGTTCAACTCTTGTGCTGACAAGACTAGTGAGTGGGTTCACCTTGTCTATGCAGTATTTATTCACTTGCGTGTATCTGGAGCTTAATTTCGCTTTACGAAGTGATCTCGTCAATTCGGAAATGTATGTTGCTTATTTCTTTTAATTTTTCTGGCTCATCCCTTCTTTGGATCCAATTCGATACCGTTGTGTGCAAATTTCACGTTGAGAGTCTGCAACGACTCCATCCTAAATGATTTCTACCCTGATGATAAGCAAATAGGATTTCTTGCCTTCTTGTCAAATTAACTAGATTCAGATTAAGTAGTTCTTAGAATATTTTCTTTTTTACTTCTTTCCCTTGAGCAGCGTTAGTTATTGGTTTGGTAATTCCCTCTTTTTTAATTAACACAAGGGTTTATATTCAGCTTTCCACTGTTTTCTCGTGGTTTGTTGAACATCGATGTTAGAGACCATGTGATTATCCAATTAATTAACTATCTCGATGAGTTGATCGGCGTCATTGGGGTCGGAGTGTCTCTCTAATTATGGGTTCCTCCCGACAAATGTCCTGGTAGGTTTCATCTATCCGGGAAAGTAAGTCAGATGACAAGAGGTTTTCAATTTTCACGGGAACCAAAAGGCTTCACTTAAGGGCAGAGACGCGGGAAGATCGATTGACTTGGATGGAAGCATTGCAGGCTGTCAAGGACATGTTTCCGCGAATGTCCAACAGTGAGCTCATGGCTCCAATGGACAATTTGGCTGTGTCAACTGAAAAGTTGAGGCAGAGGCTTCAGGAAGAGGGTTTGCGTGAGGCAGCCATTGTGGACAGCGAACAGATTATGAGGAGTGAGTTTGCTTCTCTGCAGAGCCAGCTGCTTCTGCTTCAACAGAAGCAGTGTTTGCTTACTGACACTTTGCGGCAATTAGAGGTACGTTTATGTAAGAATGAAGCGATATGTCATCTTCTTTTATGGTTCTTCAGTTTGTCCAATATACTAGAAATGTGCTCCTTCATTTCGAAAGTCCTGCTGAATGAACTACTTTGGCAAGGGACACTTCTGCATGCTCTGCTTCAGTTCTGGTCCTTTGCATGTAGTGCTCTGACATGACCCTGTTTAATAAATGACAGTAATAATGTTGTTGAGAGTATTTCGGTGATTTTTCTTGGAAAGCTATAGATGATCTTGATTTATCCATTTTTCATCTTTTTACATGTAGGACTTCGTATAATACGATCGAGTATGAAGTTTAAGTCCATGTCATGCAATTCGATTGTTACGAGATGTCTATCACCCTACTCTTGTTTTAAACTGAGGCTACTTTCAATAGTTATTTTGTATGTGTTGATATGAAGTGGCAATTTGGGCCTCTTTTATAAGCCTCTAGCGGTTTAGACTTCAGGGATCTCTAGTTTCTAGCTTCTCAGATATAGGGGATCAGTTTATGGTGTTTTCTCCCTACACGCTCATGCACACAAGCTCAAATTGAGGATTTTGTTAAAATGTCTTAATTGTGAAGAAGCTGATGTATTTGCTGGTAAATCTGAGCTAATGTTGAGCAAGTTCATGCTTCTGCAGAAATTATATGCTGTCAAGCACTTACTTTGTAAGCTTGAGAGCATTGGTAAAGTTGTAGAAATGGGCTGTGTGGGGTTTTGTTTTGCACTTTTGCTTTTTCAATGCACACATAGATATGGTACTTTATTTGATATTATTGTTGTTTGAATCAAATTTAGGACATTACTAGTTATATTTGCCTTCAAAAGACTGTCGTTTGTACTCATTTCATGTTGCGATGTTTTTATGAATTTTGACCTCGATACTATTATAGATTAGAGTGTTGCTGCCTTAGCAGTGTTGGCGGTGATGTAGATGCTCATATCAATTTCTGTCATTAGATGTCAAGTTCAGCGGATAGTTTGTACCAAAGTATTGTCAATTATCAATATGGGGTTACTACCTCATTGCAAATTTTTCTGTGAAATCTTTTAAATTTTTCGATACGTGTCCTATGATATCTTACCCATTTAACATGTTACTGAATCAACATCTCTGTCCTTTGTTCCTTAAATTCATAATATGCTCTTTGCCATTCTTTTCCATCTGGTAAGCACTTGTGACTTTTGAAAATGAACTTTGTAGACAGAGAAAGTGGATTTGGAGAACACTGTGGTTGATGAGAGCCAGAAACAGCACACTGATCACGGGGCTGCTTCCATTTCAAGGCAAGACAAGTGCAGTGGTAGGTTGTAACTACTGAATTTGGGGTGACTGGTCTTTTGGCAGAAAGGAATCATAAAGCATGGTTTTTGTTGATTTATTCTTCCAATTCTAGTTAGTTAGACTCCAATTATGACAATTAACGATTTCTGAAAGTATAGTAGGATCCTGTCATACAACAGACATGTCACCGATAACACCCATGGGCAAGAAATTGTGTTCCTCTTTTTTCTATGATAGATTCTCTTTTGTTGTACTCTGATAATCATAATTTATTTTTGAAGCAGAAGCAAGCGCAACTGAATCAGATGATGATACTGAAAGAGTTGATGCTGCAGAAGAAGAAACAGATGAGGAAGTCCATACGTTCTTTGATACTCGCGATTTTTTATCATCTAGCTCTTTCAAAAGTAACGGATCTGAATTCCGGAGATCATCTGTCTCTTCAGATGACGGAATTTATGGGGCTGACTCAGAAGATGACGTTGACCCCTCCATTAAATCCGTGTGCACTAATTTTCCTTATGTTAAACGGCGCAAGAAGTTGCCAGATCCTGTCGAAAAGGAGAAGGGTGTCAGTCTCTGGTCAATGATAAAGGATAACATTGGGAAAGATCTTACAAAAGTTTGTCTTCCTGTTTACTTCAATGAGCCCCTTTCTTCTCTGCAGAAGTGTTTTGAAGATTTGGAATATTCATATCTCATTGATCGGGCCCACGAATGGGGTAGAAGGGTGAGTTTGTGATTTAAGTCTAGTATTCTTCATTTCGGTTAGAATAGCACAATGATTTCATCTTCATTGCATATTGTATCGAAAAATATATATTGGATTGATCGACTTGCATTAACAATTGTGGTTCAATAAAATAGCATCCTCCCTATATTTCTGATGGGAAGTGTTACCTCCAATTGTATAACATGGATACGATCATTTACAATTATTCATGGGAAAGAGGTGTTGTTTTGTTGTATAATAGACGCAATTAAGGTTACCGTGTAAAATATGCCTCGGACAAGTGTATTTCGGCTTCTCTTAGTAATTCGTCACGGCTGTTGATTGGCTAGCTTGATTGATGTTGACATAAACATCATGATTATCCTGTTAAACTAAGAAATGGTCAATCCTCCTCATGCAAATATTAATATGTACTATGCACATCACATCCTCTATTGCTTGACCTTTTTGACTTTAGAAGTTTGTAAACATGATAATATTCTTAATGAGCAGTGCCTTACCCAATCCTTCCTTAAACTTCATCAAGTTTTTCAGGGTAATAGCCTCATGAGGATTCTTAATGTTGCTGCTTTTGCTGTATCTGGATATGCTTCTACTGAAGGAAGAATTTGCAAACCATTCAATCCATTATTGGGGGAGACCTATGAAGCTGACTATCCTGATAAAGGAGTCCGTTTTTTCTCAGAGAAGGTACCTTTTTTATGATTGGGAAGCTCAGTGATGCCTCATTGGCATATTTTTTTGAGACATATGTCAAGAATCCCTATATCTGAAGCAGATTGTAGGCATATGTCTGCACCAGCAACAAAGTCATGCTATTGCAACAGTTGCTTAAACAATTACGATATGATACTTTTTCCTCTTTCTTCCCTATATATGCAGAGAAACTATGAGGAAGTATAGGCTCATCTTTTTGTGATAATTGAGACAGCTCCTCTGCTTGACTAATTCTCTCTACTTCACTGATTCTTCTCCAGTTTGAACTTCCTGTATATCGTGTCTTACGAAAAGCTATGACAAATTCTGCTCTCAGGTCAGTCATCATCCCATGATAGTGGCATGTCACTGTGAAGGAACTGGATGGAGATTCTGGGCAGACAGCAATTTAAAGAGCAAATTTTGGGGTCGGTCAATTCAGCTTGACCCAATTGGCGTTTTGACTATAGAATTTGATGACGGGGAAATTTTCCAATGGAGTAAGGTAAGCATTGGGTATTATATGGTTTTTGGATTATTCAGGTTCAGTTCTTCATGGAAGAATTTTCCTTTTAGGTTACAACATCTATATACAATCTCATATTGGGAAAATTGTACTGCGAACATTATGGTACTATGCGCATACAAGGAAATCGTGGCTATTCATGTAAGCTGAAATTCAAGGAACAGTCCATTATAGACAGAAATCCTCACCAGGTCTCTCTCTCTCTCTCTCTCTCTCTCTCTCTCTCTCTCTCTCTCTCTCGTCCTCAACTTGCTTTGGACTGCCTTACTTTAGCTTTCTATATTTTAAATCCTTACTAGTACTGCTCCTATCTTGAGTTCAAAAGTTTCCCAACTTGGGGGCATCAAATTTGAGGTTTTTAAAAGGTTCCTGGGAATTGAGCTTTCAATTGATGTTTTCTCTTACTCATTTCTACTATTTCGACCATGGCTATGGCTTCTTCATGACTTTACTGGCATGCACATTCAGACAAAACCTGGTAGTTTTCCCTTATATTCATGCTTGCATGAAGACAGTGATGTCAGTGCTTAGAGGGGAATAGAATCGATTGCTCCCTGGCTATCTCATAGTCAGGTGTAAAATGTTGATTGTAAAGATGTTCTCTTCAAAGAGCACTGAAGAGCATGTCCTAATTTAATGTTCTTCTGTCCCACGTTTAGAAGATAGTGATTTAGGCCTCTACACTTGAAGTGGATGAAAGTAATGGGCTTTGAATGTTATGTTTTTTCACTCTGATAACTAGAAAGAAGAATTGGCTCAGCAAGGCCGTTGTTCACTTTAAAAAGGAGGTTGAATCTTGCTGCTATTGTTAGGTCCTCGTTCAATTGTTTTGTTGTGCATTGATAAATATATCTGGTTTTCTCTTTCATGCTTAAGCTTTTATTCACTTAAAGCTAGATTAGCTAGTAGTCTAGGTTTTAAATTCTCGTATGAAGTTTTGAACTGTTATTCACCATTTTGTTGTGCCACTATTTGTCCATCATTATGATTCGATATTGCTTTGTGCTGTGATATAATTTTAAATAATGGCCCTGGGGACGGGTGAGACTTGTTGTTTTGTGGATGGACAACCAATACTGCAACTTCTGTTTCCCTGAATAAATTCCCTTTTGTCTCTTATTGGAACAATGAATGCCAACACTTCACTTTCTTTCAACCCAGGTGCATGGCATTGTCCAAGATAGAAATGGAAAGACGGTGGCAACTTTATTTGGTAAATGGGATGAAAGCATGCATTACGTGCATGGTGACTGTTCTGAAAAAGGCAAAGGATTTGAATCTCTGTCTGAAGCCCAACTCTTGTGGAAACGGAGCAGGCCTCCGCAATTTCCCACCAGATACAATTTTACACGCTTTGCCATGACACTGAATGAGCTTACTCCTGGACTAAAGGTAATGGTTTCATTTGCAGTATTCACTTGTGAAGCACAGAAGCAGGTTCCTGGCTTCTCATTGCATCTCTTTTAATCAAATAAGGCCTTTAATACAACTAGAGTATATGGTCATGCATTGTAGTAAACAGTGTCACGTTTATCCCTCATCTACATGAGTTTAGGAATCGAATTGCCCCACCTTTTTTACCTAAAGAAGGGGTGGGGACTGAATGTTGTTTTGCGCTGTTTGAAAGATTAAGAAAATCTTCTATGGTAAGAAGATGTAATTATCGCTGCTCTTTAAGAAGGGTGCCAATCTGAGGAATAGAATTACCAACTAATCAGGGCGATTGAGGGGAAGCATATTTATCATTAGGTAAAATGCTTCCTCATTGTTTGAAACTTAAGGCACGTTTGATTTGAGAGGTCACCATCCTCATTTTTGTTGTAATTTCTTTGTCCCACACTCCCTAATTGCAGGGATTTCTTTTTTTAACCCAAGTAGGGTTTTAGTGACATTAGTGAATCATACGAGGCACATAGTTGTTCCTCTTGATCGTTCACGATGATGCTTATTTTTCTTTTATTTGCAGGAAAAGCTGCCACCTACAGATTCAAGGCTTAGACCTGATCAGAGACATTTGGAGAATGGAGAGTATGAAATGGCAAACTCTGAAAAGTTGAGACTTGAACAACGTCAAAGACTGGTAAATTGCTATCGGTTTTGTTGTCAAACTTACGTGCTCTTGCTGCCAATCCTTTTTTAATCTTGGTGTCCACTTCTGGTGGAAGTGAATAACCTATAGTTAGCACTACTCCGTGGTTGTTCAAATTGGCGCTTACCTAATGATAAAATTTCATGATCGCAAGTATTGGGGCAGTTGATCAACACAAGTAGTCTAACGGGTTGGGGTTAATCTTTCTCGTCAGAAAAAAGAAAAGAAAATGGTTGATGGGATTAATGTCATGGAGGATTATTCAACTTCAAATTTATTTCTTGAGAGTTCATTCACTCTGGCCGGACCTTGGAGATTTACTTGTACCTTTGTCTTTTATTCCGAGGCTTGGTTTTTGCATACTTCTTTTGCTTTTTTGTGCATAACCAGTCACTACACATAGCAAATGAAGATGTCAGCTTAAGACTTGATCAACGACTGTGTCCTGTTACGGTAACACGTGATGCTATACCTTTTGGGTGGCTAGTAATTTGGAAATTCGGTCTTATATTTCAGGCTCGCAATATGCAAGAGAGGGGCTGGAAGCCGCGGTGGTTCACGAAGGATAAGGGAAGCGACACGTTCCGTTACCTAGGTGGGTATTGGGAGGCGAGAGAGAAGGGGAATTGGGAATCATGTCCTGATATTTTTGGTCAAATTCCTTCGGATCAGCTACTCGATTGAGATCCTCCCCTTCATTTTTTCGCGATTTCATTTGGTTCCACTTATGTTTTCCTCCGTTTCTAATGGGTTTCCAAAGAGAGGTGAAGATGGGAGGGAGAGGGAGAGGGGGAGAGAGAAGGGTTTCAATTCTCATTCTTTTGCAATTTTTCTTTCCTTTTCTTTTGCTCTTTTTTTTTTTTTTTTTGACGTAGCTTTGAGGGGCGATTGCTTCAGTAATGCAAAGGCTCCATTGCGATGTATGTTTTAGGTTGTTGAATTAGATGAAGCTACAAAAAAAAGCCAATAAAAAGAGGTGAATAGTCAATTTTTTCTTCCCTCTCAATCTCGCTCTTTATGACCAAAAAAAAAAAATCTCGCTCTTTTTCCCCAAAATAAGAAAATACAAAATTTCGTGCTCATTGAACTTTTGAATTTTCTGGAATCTTTTGCGATCACGGGCTACATCCGGCACCTACATGTTCCCGGAAGTAGGATCCGCAAGGCGATTCCATCAATTTTCCAATTTCGTTTATTTGCAAATTGCAAATCCATGATTTTTATTATTTTCTCGCCTCTGCTTTTTGGGTCACGACGATTCTTAATATCTTATGTAAATATAAAAATATATATATATATATATATATATATATATGACGCCAAAATGGATCTCGACTCTGACACTCGGAAGATATGAAGCACCCTGGTATTGCACAAATTTTCCTTCATGGTACTCTCTGTTTACATGATCGATGGATGGACGGATTTAATGACCAATCGAACACGATTCTTCCACTTCCATTTGCTTCAAAACTATCCAATCAAACTTCGATTTTTGTCGACTCTCTCCCTCTCCTCTCCTGAGCTGCGCTGTGCGTTCCTTCCTTGTCCTTCTTCTGGAGTCTGACTGAACCCACAATGGCCAAAAGCTCAGATCTGACCATATCCCCAAGAGATTGATGGGTCCTGAGATTTCACCCCGTTTTCCGGAGGAAATCCTTCCCAAAATCGTTTGTGAGTTCATTGGGCAATCTGGGGCGGCTCTTAAGATTGCCCTCTGATATAGTCTTGACAAAACTTAAGACTTGACCATTACTCGCTTAGAATAATAAGTGACATGATACTCCAAGAGCACTTGATTCTTTTTCTTTTGTCTTCCTAATCGGCATTAGGAAAAAATTGTTTGAAGAGCTAATCTGTAAAGCGACGACCATTGCGAATACGAAAGGTAAATCTCAATCGAGCAAAGATATTTTTGAGATCTCAGGGAACTAAAAGCAGGCCTACCAAAGAACGAGTGTGAAAATTTTGTAAGTTTGAAATTATGTATGACAAGCAAAGAGAAGACCTGGTTATAGCATTTGAAACCTGCTGGTTATGGAAATTAATCCTCTATGGAAACAAGATCAGTTCATCTATAGTGATTCCTTCCTCACTAGTAAAAATTAAAAAAAAAAAAACAGAAGCTAGAAGTAACTAATGCTCCTCCTAGTTCCAAGGCTAATTTTCAACATTTGACCCTAAATATATAGGCAAGACGGGTCACAAAGTTTAACTCTTTTTTTCTATCTTGACCTAATCCCAACCGCTCCCATGTCCCGAACTAGATTATTTTATCTTTCGTTATAATTAAAAGGACGAAAACTGGCGACCCCCACTAGCAACCCTTTCTTGGTGTTATCATAAGGTCACGCACTCGTTACAGAATATTCGATTTGAGTCATAACTATCCTCCGCCATCCGTGATTTGAAGATTCGAAATTGGCGAGAGCCCATCACGGCAGCCCTATTAAGATTTTTGTAGTCAGAAAAGTCCGTTCATAATATGAATCGAACTCTTTTCATCTCGAGAAAGGTAAATAACCCCTTTGACCTCGAGATCAACCAATTTTGACGGACTTCTTCTTGGTACGGTAAAATCAACGAAATCAAAGTTCTGAGCAAGATGGAACGAAACGTAGCTTAAAGTCCACAAAGGCGTTCAAGTTCAACAGTAACAACAGGGCTAGCAACAGTCCTTGCTTGTGAGAAAAGGAATTGAATAGAAAGGGGCGGGGCAGGAGCCTCTTTAGCTTCTGAGGCTGCGGTGGCGAAGTGAAAGCATAGGGCGGCTGGTGGGGTGGCTCCTCCTCGTTCAGACCTCTCCGGTCGTGTCGGTCAAAGTTCTCTTTTTCGCCCTTTTATCTCCATAAAGAACGACACGTCGTCCCATGAATATTACGTCATTGTTTGGCGAAAGCGGAGAGATGGATTGGACGTTCTGCACCCTTTGCCATAATATTCCACAAGCAAATTGAAATGCTTCGAGACTTTAGAAACGCCTTGAATGCACATGTAGTAACTGGGGTACTTCTTTTGATCAAACATCGACTGTGGTTGATTTGAAAAGGATTATTGGTACTCGATGGTGGTGTTGAACAAATGTTATTTGTTTCTAGACTAGACAAAATCCGATGCAATGCTTGAAATCTCGGGAAGCTCACATGCATACCCACAAATTATAGGCTCGAATAGGTATCTTCCTACAATAGAAGCGGATAGATTCATTAATTTATCTCTTGAAGATAAAATGTTCCTTTTAACGACTTGTGCCTTTTGAACTAAATTACTTCAAAACAGCATCGAGATACATATTTTTATAGTACGAAATCGAGTTGGCACCGTGGCATAGCTAGCAATAGTCATGGACACGGGCCGGTTTCGGCCCGGAACCGGCCAGGCCCGTTGACCGGGCCCGCGGTTCGGAACCGGAACCGGCCCGTGGCCTACCGGCCCGGTTCCAAATTTTTTTTTTTAAAAAATAATAATAATAATTTTTAAAAATTTCATTATTTAATTTTTTTTTATAAAACAAATTGAACTCTAATTGCCATGCATTGTAAGTGCATGGTCCGGTTCCCGGTTCTATGATTTGCCGATCTGGTTCCTAATTCTAAAATTAAAGGACCGGTCTTATCGGTTCGGTTCCCGGTCGGAACCGGGAACTGATCACCCCTACAATTTTCATTTTAATTATAATTTATATTGAATAATTCATTATTTTTTTATTTCATAATTTATTTTTAAAATTTTAAATTACGAACCGGAACCGTCCGGTTCACACATGGCCACGAACCGGAACCGACCGGTTCCGAACCGTGGCCATGTCTAGCTAGCATAAGGTAAACCGACGGCTTCCCTCGGTGTTGGGGCTGCGTACATGGCGACCGGTGGATGGCAGCACCAAGGCAGGCATCGCAACAATAGAAGGTTACGTAGTAAACTAAACCTTATCATCATATATACATTAAGAGGCGGACAAATTCAGGTGATACACAAATGAACACGTTACCGCTCGAGCATATATCCCTACCAAGGACTTCGTCCCCACATATGCATGATTGGAATTTGCCTAATGACCAAAATGTACCGTACGTATGACTCAGTTTTGCAATAGCCGATGCACAACTTTATCTCTTCCACCAACAGCCATTACCAAATTCTGTGAAAATGATTCACCCTTGCCGATTGAGCAGAACATGCAGCACGTACACACACACACACACAAACTTTCTCTTGGGGAACTAACGGTCGTAAATCCCCATATCAAGTTGGCGAATGCGAAGGAAGCAACGTCTTCAGGTTAGAGATGGGTACAAGAGAAACCCCAAAAAGACATGGCAGAGAATATTGGGCGAATTCTCAAAAAAATCCCAAACTTCAGGTCAAATCCCAAATTTGTCCAAAATTTTTTTTTTGTCTCAGAAAAAACCTCAAATTGCAGATCCAATCCCAAATCTATTCCGAACTTTTTTTGTCTTAGAAAAAAGCCCAAACTTTAAGTACAGTCCCAAATCTGTCCCGAATTTTATTTTATGTAAAAAAAATCATAAAATTTCAATTTATTTTAAAAAATATACCATCGTGATCCGATCCCAACTTTACGTGGTACTTCCACGTCATAACAAATACACATCAGCAAAACAATGGGGCAATAGGTACAGACCGACGTTGCATTTCCACTTCGATAACAAATCAAACCAAATAAAAATTATTGAAATTCTCCAAAATAAAACCATTCTAGAATATGAAAGTTAGGGACGATAACAAATCCATTCAAATTTTTTTAATTTTAAAAAAAAATTAATTTTTAGGTTTGCTCCGAACTTTTCTTTGTCTAGAAAAAAACGCCATTACTTTATTGATGTAGATTTATTATCGACGTGGAAGTGCCACGTCAAGTTGAGACTGGATCACTAGGGTATATTTTTTAAAATAAATTGAATTTTGGTGATTTTTTTTATATAAAATGAAATTCGGGGCAGATTTGGGACTAAACTTAAAGTTTGGGATTTTTTCTGAGACATAAAAAAGTCCGAGGTAGATTTGGGACTAGATCTAAAGTTTGGGGTTTTTTCTGAGACAAAAAAAAGCTCGGGGCAGATTTTAGGACTTGACCTAAAGTTGGGGGGTATTTTAGGGAATTAGGTCGAGAATATTCACCCTCTCCGGCAACACTCGTCGTCGGACTCATCTGGGGCGCAACGACAGCGACCCGCCCTTGCGTTTGTGTCCCGTCCCAGATGAGCATGTAATGTCTTCTTGTGCTGTACCACCGTCTCATCTCTCTCCCTCTCTCTCTCTGTCTCTCTCTCTCTCTGCACTGTCGAATGGTCCTCTTCCCTCATTTGGCTTTCCATGGCGACAACATCATGGGGCGCAACTTGCACCTGGGGCTCGCACGCTTTGAGGAAGGAGAGAGAGGTGCGTGAGACCGACAACGACCATGGCCGAATGGACATTTTCATGCTCTCTCCGTCCTTGCTTTGTAAGATGCCGCTCCGTGCGACACGAGACACGACCCGACCTCCTCCTTCATTCTACTATTTACAAATCACAAATAAGAGTTTGGTGTTTTCGATGTCGCGCTCCCCTAAATTAGTTTCTTCAATTGTTGCTCTGGCGTTGAGATAGACATGATTTGCGATTCCTCTATCGCCTCGCTTTTTTACCGTCTTGCTTCGGATGCCGCTTCCTCTCCCGCCCTTGTGTGCATCGCCTTGCTCGCAAGTTCTTATACGGTACACGGTCTACGTACTCTTGTTTTTAAGACAACCCGCCTTCATCCCCACTAATTAGGTAGTTGTAACTTACAAAATCGATCAAGTATCCAAATTAATTGACTAACGAGTTGTATGCATAAACGAGTACATAGGTTGGATACTTAAATATTTTTCCCATCAAAGATAGACTTGCAGGTTCGGACCTGAGTAGAAGGCTTAAGGAGAAGAAACAAGGGGAAGAACCCCCGAAGGGCGGGATTCCCCAATGTCACTTCCCTTATTCCCTCTCTCTCGGG